GACACAAGAAGACTACCAAGCCACACAAAGATCTACAAAGAGACACTAGAAGACTACCAAGCCACACAAAGAACTACAAAGAGACACTAGAAGACTACCAAGCCACACAAAGATCTACAAAGAGACACAAGAAGACTACCAAGCCACACAAAGATCTACAAAGAGACACTAGTAGACTACCAAGCCACACAAAGATCTACAAAGAGACACTAGTAGACTACCAAGCCACACAAATATCTACAAAGAGACACAAGAAGACTACCAAGCCACACAAAGATCTACAAAGAGACACTAGAAGACTACCAAGCCACACAAAGATCTACAAAGAGACACTAGTAGACTACCAAGCCACACAAATAACTACAAAGAGACACTAGAAGACTACCAAGCCACACAAAGAACTACAAAGAGACACTAGTAGACTACCAAGCCACACAAAGATCTACAAAGAGAGACTAGTAGACTACCAAGCCACACAAATAACTACAAAGAGACACTAGTAGACTACCAAGCCACACAAAGATCTACAAAGAGACACTAGTAGACTACCAAGCCACACAAAGATCTACAAAGAGACACTAGAAGACTACCAAGCCACACAAAGATCTACAAAGAGACACTAGAAGACTACCAAGCCACACAAAGAACTACAAAGAGACACTAGAAGACTACCAAGCCACACAAAGATCTACAAAGAGACACTAGAAGACTACCAAGCCACACAAAGAACTACAAAGAGACACTAGAAGACTACCAAGCCACACAGAGATCTACAAAGAGACACTAGAAGACTACCAAGCCACACAAAGATCTACAAAGAGACACTAGAAGACTACCAAGCGACACAAAGATCTACAAAGAGACACTAGTAGACTACCAAGCCACACAAAGATCTACAAAGAGACACTAGAAGACTACCAAGCCACACAAAGATCTACAAAGAGACACTAGAAGACTACCAAGCCACACAGAGATCTACAAAGAGACACTAGAAGACTACCAAGCCACACAAAGAACTACAAAGAGACACTAGTAGACTACCAAGCCACACAAAGAACTACAAAGAGACACTAGAAGACTACCAAGCCACACAAAGAACTACAAAGAGACACTAGAAGACTACCAAGCGACACAAAGAACTACAAAGAGACACTAGAAGACTACCAAGCCACACAAAGATCTACAAAGAGACACTAGAAGACTACCAAGCCACACAAAGAACTACAAAGAGACACTAGAAGACTACCAAGCCATACAAAGAACTACAAAGAGACACTAGAAGACTACCAAGCCACACAAAGAACTACAAAGAGACACTAGAAGACTACCAAGCCACACAAAGAACGACAAAGAGACACTAGAAGACTACCAAGCCACACAAAGATCTACAAAGGGACACTAGAAGACTACCAAGCCACACAAAGAACTACAAAGAGACACTAGAAGACTACCAAGCCACACAAAGATCTACAAAGAGACACTAGAAGACTACCAAGCCACACAAAGAACTACAAAGAGACACTAGAAGACTACCAAGCCACACAAAGAACTACAAAGAGACACTAGAAGACTACCAAGCCACACAAAGAACTACAAAGAGACACTAGTAGACTACCAAGCCACACAAAGAACTACAAGAGACACTAGAAGACTACCAAGCCACACAAAGAACTACAAAGAGACACTAGAAGACTACCAAGCCACACAAAGAACTACAAAGAGACACTAGAAGACTACCAAGCCACACAAAGATCTACAAAGAGACACTAGTAGACTACCAAGCCACGCAAAGATCTACAAAGAGACACTAGAAGACTACCAAGCCACACAGAGATCTACAAAGAGACACTAGTAGACTACCAAGCCACGCAAAGATCTACAAAGAGACACTAGAAGACTACCAAGCCACACAAAGATCTACAAAGAGACACTAGTAGACTACCAAGCCACACAAAGAACTACAAAGAGACACTAGAAGACTACCAAGCCACACAAAGATCTACAAAGAGACACTAGTAGACTACCAAGCCACACAAAGATCTACAAAGAGACACTAGAAGACTACCAAGCCACACAAAGAACTACAAAGAGACACTAGAAGACTACCAAGCCACACAAAGAACTACAAAGAGACACTAGTAGACTACCAAGCCACACAGAGATCTACAAAGAGACACTAGAAGACTACCAAGCCACACAAAGAACTACAAAGAGACACTAGAAGACTACCAAGCCACACAAAGAACTACAAAGAGACACTAGAAGACTACCAAGCCACACAAAGAACTACAAAGAGACACTAGTAGACTACCAAGCCACACAAAGAACTACAAAGAGACACTAGAAGACTACCAAGCCACACAAAGAACTACAAAGAGACACTAGTAGACTACCAAGCCACACAAAGAACTACAAAGAGACACTAGTAGACTACCAAGCCACACAAAGAACTACAAAGAGACACTAGAAGACTACCAAGCCACACAAAGAACTACAAAGAGACACTAGAAGACTACCAAGCCACACAAAGAACTACAAAGAGACACAAGAAGACTACCAAGCCACACAAAGAACTACAAAGAGACACTAGAAGACTACCAAGCCACACAAAGAACTACAAAGAGACACTAGTAGACTACCAAGCCACACAAAGAACTACAAAGAGACACTAGTAGACTACCAAGCCACACAAAGAACTACAAAGAGACACTAGTAGACTACCAAACCACACAAAGAACTACAAAGAGACACTAGTAGACTACCAAGCCACACAAAGAACTACAAAGAGAAACAACAGAACTACAAAAGACGCGTTCACACCGGAGTACTTTTCCCCGTACTTTTCCGGCTTAGTTCCGTTAGTACCCCTGATGTCGCGTTCACACCAAAAAGAGTACTTAGTGCCGGGAACTTGTACCCCCATTTTCAGTGCCTACTAGAGAGGTGGTACCAAAAAAGTACCAATTGCTATTGGCTGGGCGAATTACAAACCACGCCCCGTAAAACTCAGAAAAGTTTTTTGAAGCCGCTGTCAGTACCAGATGTGTTCGGGGTACCAGATGTGTTCGGGTGTATTTCCGTCGCATCCGTCATCCGTCATATCCGTCATATACTCACCTCCCTCTGCTCCCAGCGCTCTGCTGCCACACATCGGCCGTCTGCGGAACTGCAGCCGGAGGAACTCGGGACAGCTTGTTATGTGTGAGGTGCTATGGTGGGGTCCCATGTACTTGTGCACATAAATAATGTTTCTAATTATTTACAATTAAAAAATATATATATTCTGCGTTACTTTAGCCAACACTTTTATAAGGCCACTAGATTAGATCATTACGAAATGTGTAGATAGAATAGGCCTACATATCTTTCAGGTTGTTATTTTGTCATTATGTTTAATGTTTTATTTATCTTTTAGTATTTTTATATAGTATCTGAACTTTGGAGAGGAGTTGGGGGACACACGACACATCAAATCACATCTACAGATCAAGCCAAAGCGAATGGAAGTACTCCCATACTCCTAGCGTGAAAATGTTTGTGAAAACGTGTGCAAAGTCTCCGAAAATCCTAAAAATAAGCTCATATTTTAATTCCCCATAAAAAAACCACATCATTCAGTAAAAACAAGGCCCCACTGATCATCTACTCTCTGAGACGATTCCAGGGATGTCTGGCTTGAGTTTCTACCACCAGGGAAAGTGGACAAAAGTGCCCGAGATCAGCCTCTTAATTTACCCAGGGCCTAGTGCTTAGCTTTTGGCATGAACATTCAGGAAACTCCCCTGAGTATTTTATTAAATATCTGAACTTTGGAGAGGAGTTGGGGGACACACGACACATCAAATTGCATCTACAGATCAAGAAGAAGCTAATGGAAGTACTCCTAGCGTGTGAAAATGTTTGTGAAAAACGTGTGCAAAGTCTCCGAAAACGGAGCAGTGGCTGTGATGCTAGCTTTGCGGCTAGCGGTTAGTTGTTATTGTTTGAAGTTGTTGCTTTGGAAACAACATGACGGAGAAAAAATTAATATCTTCTACATATAATAACGGACAAAGTAAAGAATGAAGTGTAGGCTATGCCTGTTTGAAGTTGTTGCTATGGAAACAACATGACGGAGAAAAAGTATAATCTTCTACATATAATAACGGACAAAGTAAAGAATGAAGTGTCGGCTATGTTTAAATGTTCGGAATTTGACCGTGATGGCCCTCTTGAGTTGCCGTAAAATATGACGAATATGACGGATGCGACGGATATACACCCGAACACATCTGGTACCCCGAACACATCTGGTACTGACACCGCCATTGTATTTGCTAGCATTAGCATTATTAGCATTAGCATTAGCCCCGCGCACCAACGGAGAAAGAATAACTTATGGCAACACAAAAAAAAACATGGGAGCGGTGGAGTGATGAGGAGGTGTCGGCGTTCTGGCGATTTACTCGGAAGGCTTCAGTAGAAGCTGCTGGGAGTCCCAGCAGCTTCTACTGAAGCCAGTCCCCAACTCCGGGGACTTCGGGCGGCAGTATACGCCGTGAAGTGGTTTGAGGCCTGCCAGTAAACCCAAAGCAGAAGAAGAAGAATTGACGTCAGCGGCTTCATTTATATAATCTTCCCTCAGGGAAAAAGTACTCGGCAAAGTACTTGGTGTGAAAGCGCCCTAATGAGAAACAACAGAACTACAAAGAGACACTAGTCGTAAGACTACGAAGCAAGACAATAAACCTACAAAGTGACTTAAAGGACTAAAAAGAGACAATAAATGGCTTCCAAGAGACACATAGCAATTACAAAGAGATTCCAAATAACTACAAAGAAACACAATAAGACTACATTGTCACATTTAAAGGATATAGGAAAAGAGCATGAACAGGCTATTAAATAAAAGCTACTCAAAATGACTGCAACGACACATTTAAAGACTACAAAAAGAAGCAGAATTACTCTCACCATGATAAGGGTTAGTTGTGATGTGTTGTACTCTTGTGTGTCTTCAGTGGACCGGCCCGTCAGAGTGTACGCAGATGGCATCTTCGACCTCTTCCACTCTGGGCACGCTCGTGCTCTCATGCAGGCCAAGAACCTTTTCCCCAACACCTACCTCATAGTAGGAGGTACACACACACTCACACACACCCTTAAATCTTCCAAATATCCCCTCCAGATTTGTATCACAGTGATTAATTAGGATCTGTGTTTTGTGTGTTTGGCTCAGTGTGCAGTGATGAGCTGACCCACAAGTTTAAGGGCTTCACGGTGATGACGGAGTTCGAGCGTTATGAAGCACTGAGACACTGCCGCTACGTGGACGAGGTTCTGAGAGATGCTCCCTGGACTCTCACACCGGAGTTCCTCGAGAAACACAAGGTGTGTGCGTGTGTGTGTGTGCGTGTGTGTGTGCCCAAAAAGGTGCATTCAGTAGCTTTGGGAATAGCTCTTAAAGGGCCCATGTCATGCTTTTCCGGTTATTACCCGTCCCCTTGTGTGTTATGTAGCTTTTTCTGCATGTAAACGGTCTGCAGAGTCACAAACCCTCAAAGTACACCCTGTAGCGAGTAAAACTCTAACACAGAAAAGACCTGTCTATGCTGCCCCAGAACGCCTCGTTGGAGATTTCTCTTTTTCCATTGTTTACTTCTTGGGTATAGTGACGTATTTGGGTTATAGTGACGTAACGTAACGTCCGCGGAGCCGTTACGGACAGTGTGAGCTGGCTCACGGGTGTGAGGTCAGCGAGACACTGCGGGGGGGGGCAGGAGCTCCAACAAGCCGTTTAGGACAGAGAGTGAATACACATACTATACAGAGATGCTGTGAGAAACCAATGTGAGTTTGGAAAATTGCACAATATAATCTATTTTAGTAGTAGTAGTAGAGACATGGAGAAGAGGGGACACATGTTGATGTAGAAGAGACATGAAGAAGAGGGGACACATGTTGATGTAGAAGAGACATGAAGAAGAGGGGACACATGTTGATGTAGGAGAGACATGAAGAAGAGGGGACACATGTTGATGTAGAAGAGACATGAAGAAGAGGGGACACATGTTGATGTAGAAGAGACATGGAGAAGAGGGGGACACATGTTGATGTAGAAGAGACATGAAGAAGAGGGGACACATGTTGATGTAGAAGAGACATGAAGAAGAGGGGACACATGTTGATGTAGAAGAGACATGAAGAAGAGGGGACACATGTTGATGTAGAAGAGACATGGAGAAGAGGGGACACATGTTGATGTAGAAGAGACATGAAGAAGAGGGACACATGTTGATGTAGAAGAGACATGAAGAAGAGGGGACACATGTTGATGTAGAAGAGACATGGAGAAGAGGGGACACATGTTGATGTAGAAGAGACATGAAGAAGAGGGGACACATGTTGATGTAGAAGAGACATGGAGAAGAGGGGACACATGTTGATGTAGAAGAGACATGAAGAAGAGGGGACACATGTTGATGTAGAAGAGACATGGAGAAGAGGGGACACATGTTGATGTAGAAGAGACATGAAGAAGAGGGGACACATGTTGATGTAGAAGAGACATGGAGAAGAGGGGACACGTGTTGATGTAGAAGAGACATGAAGAAGAGGGGACACATGTTGATGTAGAAGAGACATGAAGAAGAGGGGACACCATGTTGATGTAGAAGAGACATGGAGAAGAGGGGACACATGTTGATGTAGAAGAAGAGACATGAAGAAGAGGGGACACATGTTGATGTAGAAGAGACATGAAGAAGAGGGGGACACATGTTGATGTAGAAGAGACATGGAGAAGAGGGGACACATGTTGATGTAGAAGAGACATGAAGAAGAGGGGACACATGTTGATTGTAGAAGAGACATGAAGAAGAGGGGACACATGTTGATGTAGAAGAGACATGGAGAAGAGGGGACACATGTGATGTAGAAGAGACATGAAGAAGAGGGGACACATGTTGATGTAGAAGAGACATGGAGAAGAGGGGACACATGTTGATGTAGAAGAGACATGAAGAAGAGGGGACACATGTTGATGTAGAAGAGACATGGAGAAGAGGGGACACATGTTGATGTAGAAGAGACATGGAGAAGAGGGGACACATGTTGATGTAGAAGAGATATGAAGAAGAGGGGACACATGTTGATGTAGAAGAGACATGGAGAAGAGGGGACACATGTTGATGTAGAAGAGACATGGAAGAAGAGGGGACACATGTTGATGTAGAAGAGACATGGAGAAGAGGGGACACATGTTGATGTTGAAGAGACATGGAGAAGAGGGACACATGTTGATGTTGAAGAGACATGAAGAAGAGGGGACACATGCTTGATGTAGAAGAGACATGAAGAAGAGGGGACACATGTTGATGTTGAAGAGACATGAAGAAGAGGGGAAGATTGTTGATGTAGAAGAGACATGAAGAAGAGGGGACACATGTTGATGTAGAAGAGACATGGAGAAGAGGGGACACATGTTGATGTAGAAGAGACATGAAGAAGAGGGGACACATGTTGATGTAGAAGAGACATGGAGAAGAGGGGACACATGTTGATGTAGAAGAGACATGGAAGAAGAGGGGGACACATGTTGATGTTGAAGAGACATGGAGAAGAGGGGACACATGTTGATGTAGAGAGACATGAAGAAGAGGGGACACATGTTGATGTAGAAGAGACATGGAGAAGAGGGACACATGTTGATGTAGAAGAGACATGAAGAAGAGGGGACACGTGTTGATGTAGAAGAGACATGAAGAAGAGGGGACACGTGTTTGATGTAGAAGAGACATGGAAGAAGAGGGGACACATGTTGATGTAGAAGAGACATGGAGAAGAGGGGACACACTGTTGATGTAGAAGAGACATGAAGAAGAGGGGACACATGTTGATGTAGAAGAGACATGGAGAAGAGGGGACACATGTTGATGTAGAAGAGACATGAAGAAGAGGGGACACGTGTTGATGTAGAAGAGACATGAAGAAGAGGGGACACGTGTTGATGTAGAAGAGACATGAAGAAGAGGGGGCACATGTTGATGTAGAAGAGACATGGAGAAGAGGGGACACATGTTGATGTAGAAGAGACATGAAGAAGAGGGGACACATGTTGATGTAGAAGAGACATGGAGAAGAGGGACACATGTTGATGTAGAAGAGACATGAAGAAGAGGGGACACGTGTTGATGTAGAAGAGACATGAAGAAGAGGGGACACGTGTTGATGTAGAAGAGACATGAAGAAGAGGGGACACATGTTGATGTAGAAGAGACATGAAGAAGAGGGGACACATGTTGAGGAGAGACATGAGCAAGTGTAATTTGCATAATAGGTGACCTTTAAGAGTCTTTGTGGAAACTTCTTGCACCGTTTACAAAAACTACCTGGGGTGAGACACCTGTGTGTTTATGACCCAACCCTTGTCATGTACTACTTTAAGTGTTTATATTTTCCAAAGTGCCAGAGTTTTCTGACTCACAGTCATGTCCTTTCATGTTCCTCAGATCGATTTTGTGGCTCACGATGACATCCCGTACTCCTCAGCAGGGAGTGAGGATGTCTACAAACACATCAAGGAGGCAGGTCAGTGTTACAGGAAGATGTTCTGTCTTCTTACAGTAAAAATGTACCTCGAGCAGTTTGAAAGCTTTGTGTTTCTATGTGTGTGTTTCAGGGATGTTGTTCCTACTCAGCGGACAGAAGGCATCTCCACATCGGACCTGATCACCAGGATCGTCAGAGACTACGACGTCTACGCCCGACGCAACCTCCAACGAGGATACACGGCCAAGGAGCTCAACGTCAGCTACATCAACGTAAGAGCATCAGCATGTCAAGGTGTGACTTTTGTACCAGCCGGAAATGTTCTCAAATGCTTGACAATTGACAAAAAAGCTGGATGTAACAGTCTTTACTTCAATAGGGGTCAAATGTTTAAAAAAGCCGACAAAACAAAGTAACAAAACAAACACTTGACTAGGAAAGTAGAAGGACTAGGACCAAAGCTCGGTGAAAACACTGGGTAAATGTACTTACTGTGACGAGACAAAGTCATAAATGGAGCAACATCAAATGCACAAGAGAGCAATAATTAAGTTAAGGAGTTTTTAAAAAAAATATTACACACAATATATCCAGCAAAAAAGACACTGCAACGATTTGGACTTGATGTTGAATATTCCTGTACATTTTGTAATCTACAAGAAGAGACTATTGGCCATTTATTTTATGAATGCTTGTATTGTAGAATATTGTGGTATGATGTAGAATGCTTTATTAGAAAAAGACGGGACAAAAGGTTTAACTCCACAAAGACATTCTTACGTACTTCAGGGATGATAGTATGGATGCAGATTTTGTCTTTTTGGTGCAGATAATTGTATTTTTAGGGAAATTTCATATCCATAAAAAGAAATGGGCTGAATCCAAACCACATTTTGAACATTTCTATCAAGAATTTAAACAATATATTTGCTAATATAAAACTAATTTGATATTTAAAAATATTTAATCTGAAGTATCAACATGTATTTGTCTTTCCTTTTTTCTTTATTTACTGTATGTAATGTCTTGTTGCGTGAGGAAGGGTTATTAAGAACAGGTGAACCAATCAGGGCGGGGCAGGAAATCACAGAGGGAGAAACACACTGGGGCAGGAAGTGAAGCCACTAGATTCTGCATGTCATCATCTCTGTATCATCCATAAAAGATTATTTTAGCATAATTGGTATGTCATCAAAGGTGTTAAATATTCAGGAAACATTCTGTAACGAAGTGTCGGATAATTATGAATATCTGGAAGTAATGTTGGTTTAAAAACATAATGAATATAACATTTTATGGCAAGCAACATTTGAAGGTGAGACACAGGGTTGGAATACGTTTTAGATTACTTTACGACATCTCAGGTTACAAAGCCTAGATTTCTATTTATTCAGGGATCGCAAAGCTTTTTTAACAATTGATTTTCCTCACCTCTGCCTCCCCTCAGGAGAAGAAGTACCGGCTGCAGAACCAGGTGGACCGGATGAAGGAGAAGGTGCGCACGGTGGAGGAGAAGAGCAAACACTTTGTCTACCGGGTGGAGGAGAAGAGCGCCGACCTCATCCAGAAGTGGGAGGAGAAATCCAGAGAGTTCATCGGAAACTTCCTGGAACTGTTTGGACCCGACGGGACCTGGGTAAGTTACTCTTCTTTAATAAAGAACTTGTAACAGTACTACACTCTAGTACTTCTACTTTTACTCAAGTACAAGATGTGAGTATTCCCCCACCTCTGGTAATAACATATGTTCAATGTAAAGTGCAATTGAAAGGTACTAGTTCTTTAATAACAAGCATTTTTCATCAGGTCTAAAACCACCAGAGTCAGGGACAGTTTCATTCCACAGACTGTTAGACACCTGAACTTTTGAAAGAACATCCATAACATTCATCTGTTTGCGACTTTATAAAAACCTATTTATCTTATATATCATATTCCAATTCCTTAGACCAGGGGTGTCCAAACTTTTTTCACCGAGGGCCAAATACAGAAAAATATACGAAGGGCTGGGCCGCTCACTAGAGGAGAGGTTTATTGCCTCATAAGTTAATTTATAAGTCAGCACAATCAATCAAATATAGGTAAATTATGCTTGATAGATACTTTAAATCCCTCACATATATCCAGAGGGTTTACTTTATTTTGTTACTAAAAGTGTACAGCGCATCCCTTAAAACAGAAGTCTCATTTTGCTTATAATAGGGGAAATAGGAAGGGTGTATTTCAAACTTGTTATGTTAAAAAGTTATTTGGCTTTTTTTATCAACTAAGATTTGTTAGAAAATGTTTTCAACTTTAACTGACTGAATGTATTTGAAAAGTGGCCTTATTGACACGTGAATAATACTGTGCGATATATTTGTACATATATGTTCAAGAAATGCAATATAAGACAAGCACAAGTTTCATTTGTGGGCCGTATTACATTATACTTTTTGAATTTGCTGAGGGCCGATTCAAAATGTTCCGCGGGCCGTAGTTTGGACACCCCTGATATAGACTATTCTTGCACTATTTCTATTCTATTTTATTTGTATTGTACCTGTACTATGTTATCTGTTTTATTGTGTTGCACGGTTGGAGGACCTAAGATTTACATTGCCATAACTACACTCATGTACAAATGACAATAAAAGCCTTGAACCTTGCATTGAGCCAGCATTGACTGTGTTCCTCCCCCTGTATAGAAACAGGTGTTTCAGGAGCGCAGTGGACGGATGCTGTCCTACGCTCTGTCCCCCCGAGGGTCTCCCTGCAACAGCCCCCCCCCGCGAACTCTCCCCCCTGCGCTCCCCGTCCCCCCCCCTGCCCCCCTGCCCGCTGGAACAACGCACGGCCATCGCCCCCAAACTCCCCCAAAGGAGCGTCGGCCTCCATCAGCAGCATGAGTGAAGGGGACGAAGACGAGAAGTAGATGGACTGTGATGGACACACACACACACACACACACACACACACGTAAACATTCACACACTTCACTCACAGTACAATGCCTGGGAACTGCACACACACACACACACGCACGCACGCACACACACACACACACACATGTAGATGTATACACACACACTTCACTCACAGTACACTGCCTGGGAACTGCTCACACTCACACAGACACACAAACACATACACACACCTGGCTGGATACTGAAACACTTTATCCTCAAGGAAGTAGCTAGAATGCAAAGAAGAAGGGGATCATGGGAAATGAAGTTCTGTGCTGCAGAGCTAAGAAGCCATCATCGCACAGGAAGAAGAGGATTTGCGAGAAGGTCCAGAATGCTTTGCGGCATCTTTCAGGAGGATTAGCTTTTTGTGGAGAGACTGTCCGACAGCCTTCATGGCACCACCCTCACTGTCCTGTTCTGTTCATTGACAGTTCTGTCACCACTAGATGTGAAAAGACACACAAACACTGTGTGACGTTCAGCTCCACATCGACAGGATTCATCGCGGGCTCATTTAGTACTTGCTGAACTGAGAGTTAGGAATTAAAGACTGCACGTCGTAGATTAGCAGAGGTGAAGTGTTGGCACTAGAACACATAATCAGAGCTAGTTTGCACCCTTTAAGCATAAACGGCTGGCGAGGAGAATAAACCAGTGATCCATGAGTCTTTGTTCCCACGCCACTAAAACAGATAAAGACTATCATTCAGAAAATCATAGGAAGTTAAAATCAGCCTGTGGGATTAGCTGTGTCCAAAAAGCTCTGAGTTTGGGAGGTGGTTTTATCACCTCTGTTGTACAGCTTTGTTTGAAATCAAACGATATAATCTAAGTAGTGAAGATCAAGAGTTTTTAAATGAAAATTAAAGAAGTCTGTATTAAATTAAACACTAAAACAAGCCTCTTTTGATCCTTAAAACGTTATTAGCTTCTTGAATGTAAACTGAGTCTCTGAGACAAGTAGAGATCATTGTAATCACCCTAATTTCCCTAAATCATCACATTAGGACACACAAATATCACAGGTATTAGAGGAAACATTTGTGGATGTTCAGCCTAACTAGCCATGTATCATTTGAAGGTTTGCCATGTTTTATCTCTCAATGTTTAGCAGACATCGTTGCTCTTTGGATTTTGATGTCAGCTGTTCATCAAACCCGTCAAACTTGGAGATGCAGCCTTTCTCTCGGACTCTGAAGATACTTGAAATAAACAATAAGCCCTCCAGGTGAACTGTCAGCAGCCGGATCATCATGTTTTTAGTCGCTAGATGTAGCTACGTAATAACTCTTTTTTTTCTCCAATCATACAATAAATACTCTAATGCAATGTAGAGACCTTAACGTCCTGTACGCACTACATGTTAATCTGCACTATATGTACAAACTTTGGGAATGTGTGTCTTTTTTATCTTTTAAATCTTAATGTTCAAACGGCTTGATCTGTAAATAAAAAAATCTATAACCAAATGTGAATTGAAAGTGCATTTCGCCTTTTTATCCAAACAAACGATGCAGGAAAATGGCACACAACAGCAAAATGTTATTTATTGTCTCATGCTGATATCAGACTGCTCCATCACCATTTTGCATATTTTTTCATGACCGCCTACACAGCAAGGGGTTCATGCACAAAGCTGGAGGTACAGGAAGATAGAACACAGAGATCACTCCACACTGTACTGCAAACACATCATTGGATACACAATATTTACTAAAATACACAAAGTAGTCTTTAACAGTAAAGGTCCACGACTACTCAAGACGCCTCTTAAAATCACACAATTCAAACGTAGCTGTTAAATGTGATTACAGGTGGTGAGCGGAGGCATTTTAAATAAAAAAAGGACAGTTTCTCTGAGCGTCCGACCGACACTCGTTACTGCAGGTTTGTCCCTCAGGGAGACTGGCAGGTTTGAAGGCATCGGCAGTGATGAACTCTTCAGCTACTCTCCTTTCTTTTGGGATCAGAGGGAGTTGAAGGAGACGAGAGAAGGAAGTCACTTCAGATCATTTCAATTCTTAACACGCGGTGCGAGCCATGCTTGATTTTTCAGTAGTTTACCAAAAAGGATATTGCTACTATGAAGGTGTTCAGATACAAGTGGTGACCTTGGATCTCTGCAGATCATAATTAATCTTCTGTGTGTCCAAAAAAGTAGGTATGATGTGATTGTGTGAAGTTATTTGAAGGAAGAATACATGTTGGGTCAGAAAGCGCACAAATAAGTTCCCTTAATGTGATTCATGTGAAAAATCACGTGTTTAGCGCTATCATTTAGTACAAAGATAATTTAGTCTTACATTTAACATTCAGAAGAAGAAAATCGGATTATTCAGAATTAAGTTTTGATATTTACCCCAACTCTCTTTCTAAAGACTTGATTTCCTTTTGTTTAAATAAACAAACATTACAGTAAGATACCATTTGAACAGTTAATGCTGTTTCAATTTCAACGATACAAATCAAACCCTGTGTTCCTCGCTTAAAATGAACTTAAAGGGTGATAAAAATACACAAACTGTGTTCATAACTCATTCATAACATAATACCAAAAGTAGAAGGTATGAGAGCTGGCTTGCAAGCAGAAATGTCCCTCAGTATTGTCGATCAATAGTATGTGTGAATTACAGGGGTTAGAATACAAATAATCAGAAACTATTTTGATCAGATTTGATCAGCACTTTGAATTGCCTTGTGTTGAAAGGTGCTATATAAATAAACTTGCCTTGCCTTGCCTTGCCTTGCCTTGCCTTATCATATTCAAGTAGGTTTTTGTGTTTTGGACTGACTAAACATGTAAAGACATCAGCTTTGACTTTAGAGTACTAGAGGACATTTTGTACTAATCTTTGCTGCTTTACATTCCAAACAATTATCTAGAGAATAATTAATTAATCGATACCTAAAATATGTATTGGTTGCAGCCCTAGCTTAGGTGGGCGTACAGTTGACTTAAAGGAGTGAAGATGTAAAATAGAAACAAAATATTATCCCACTGTTAATGATCTTAAATCTCCACAGCCTTCAAGGCAGCTTTTTAAAACATAAAAAAACTTCTCTCTTTGAAATAAAGCTTCTAGATCTTTAAATATAAATCGTGCTCTTGATGCATGGCTTTCTATAATTTTCCCAAAACAGTTTCTCTATGTTCTCAGGCTTAAATACAAAACTAGTGTTTACTCTGCCAACGACACACTGGCCTGATTGTGCGCTCGGTTCAAAAGTGTCTCCCAAAGGAAGGAAATGAAACCTCCTATTCTTCCCATCTGCACTGAAACTCAAACCTCTCTGGTCTCTGCTGGTGTTTGAGCGGCAGAGACAGAAAACCTTCCCTCAGCTGACGGTGAGAAAGCATCGCAGGGTTTATTCAGCCACAGGAAAGCAGCGGCCAAAACAAAGATGCCACGACAATAAAAGCTACGCAGATGAATCTCATTGTCTTTGGGTGCAGAAATAAGTCATACAATATGGTCCAAACATCAGGAATGTTAAAGCAGGTCCGATCAGAGCCCAAGGGCAATGCTTCATCGTGCTTGCTCCCAGCAGGGGGTCAGAGTTATCGCTTGGCTTTGTAATTGGACTTGCTGGCGTCTCTTGGCTCTCGGCTGGGGTTGCTCCAGTCGTCCGCCTCGGGGCTCGTCTTGTAGTGTCGCAGCGCAGACTTGTTGAAGACGGGAAGACGCTCGAAGGACTCGCTGGAGAGAGCCTGGAGAAAAAAGACACAGGACGATGAGAACTCATGGTTAATTATCTTTAAAAGACGACATATAATGCTGATGTTCAGGTGTATATCAGTATGTAGTGTCTCTACTTTAAAGAGTCCTCTCCAGCTGATGTTCAGGTGTATATCAGTATGTAGTGTCTCTACTTTAAAGAGTCCTCTCCTGCTGATGTTCAGGTGTATATCAGTATGTAGTGTCTCTACTTTAAAGAGTCCTCTCCAGCTGATGTTCAGGTGTATATCAGTATGTAGTGTCTCTACTTTAAAGAGTCCTCTCCTGCTGATGTTCAGGTGTATATCAGTATGTAGTGTCTCTACTTTAAAGAGTCCTCTCCTGCTGATCTTTTAGGTGTATATCAGTATGTAGTGTCTCTACTTTAAAGAGTCCTCTCCTGCTGATGTTCAGGTGTATATCAGTATGTAGTGTCTCTACTTTAAAGAGTCCTCCTCTGCTGATGTTCAGGTGTATATCAGTATGTAGTGTCTCTACTTTAAAGAGTCCTCTCCTGCTGATGTTCAGGTGTATATCAGTATGTAGTGTCTCTACTCTAAAGAGTCCTCTCCTGCTGATGTTCAGGTGTACATCAGTATGTAGTGTCTCTACTCTAAAGAGTCCTCTCCTGCTGATGTTCAGGTGTATATCAGTATGTAGTGTCTCTACTTTAAAGAGTCCTCTCCTGCTGATGTTCAGATGTATATCAGTATGTAGTGTCTCTACTTTAAAGAGTTCTCTCCTGCTGATGTTCAGGTGTATATCAGTATGTAGTGTCTCTACTTTAAAGAGTCCTCTCCTGCTGATGTTCAGGTGTATATCAGTATGTAGTGTCTCTACTTTAAAGAGTCCTCTCCTGCTGATGTTCAGGTGTATATCAGTATGTAGTGTCTCTACTTTAAAGAGTCCTCTCCTGCTGATGTTCAGGTGTATATCAGTATGTAGTGTCTCTACATGTCTCCATGCTTTAATGTTTAAAGCTCTTTATTTCTCTCATACTGCCTGTGCTGCAGCTCCTCTTTTCACCCTCTGTCTGAAACCAGAGGCCAGTCTGCTCTGATTGATTAGCTGGCCGGCTCTGTTGTGATTGGTCAACTGCTCAGAGATCAGTTTCATTGGTCGCCTGCCCTTATACACCCTCTACTCTGCCTTTGTAAATAAAATAAAATAGCATGTGCGTATGTGTGAAACCGTGTTCTGTATTTTCCCTTAAGCGACATCACAAACTTTAAACATGCAGGATATTCAAAACGAAGACAATACATTTTATTTATTTTTTTTAAATGTAGAAAATACCACATTTACGATTTAACGTGTATCTGCGTGTCTGCCAGTGGCGACCGGCCAATAGGGGCGCTAGGGGCGCCGCCCCCCCTCTTCCCACATGTTTGATTGTCATTCAAAATTAAAAATAAATTAAAAAATGTATAAAAAAAATATATATATTTATTTTTATTTTTAATGAACAAGGTAAATATTATATAGTTGGCATCAGTAAAATGTATGATCTACAATAAAATCTCATTTAAAATTGTGTTACGATGTCTAAAGTACTGCCTGGCGTGTATCATTACCCTCTCTTGTCTGGGCGGTAAGAAAGGAGCCCTCACTCAGCCCCAGCAGCATCCAACACATTGCTGACTGTTGCTATCTGTAAACTATGCCGCCAAAACATAATTTCAGCCAATCAGCGTCGTCAGATCTGATGCTCAAAGGGCGGTAATTTCAGCGCCCGGTGCAGTCTGTGAGTTGTTTGGACTCATATCCAAGGTGACGCTACAGTATAGTTGATGAGGATGGCTGCATCTGCAGGTGGAGGCTCCGGTGCTAGTGGATCGCCGGAGCTGTAGATTAACATTTACATGCTTATTGTAGTTGTAAGGGCAATGCCTGTAGCACCATGGAGCATGTGTGTGGGCTGGACCTGTGTTTACAGGAAAGGAGTGAGCAGAGGGTCGAGTTGTCGATTCTTGTTCAGTTTTCTGTGACTATTTTCCTCACCCTCTCAGACTTTGAGTTGCGCGTGCTACTAAAGGGACGTGTTACCATGGAAACCAAACAAGAGAGATTTCGAGAATAAAGTCGTAATGTTACGAGAATAAAGTAATAATTTCGAGATTAAAGTCGTAGTTTCATAAGTGAGTTGAGAAGCGGACTTGGAGATTGTCTCCTTTCTGCAGGAGGAAATGGTTCTGGCCGACTACATTACATCACATTGCATTTAGCTGACGCTTTTATCCAAGCGACTTACAATAAGTGCGTTCGACCAACAAGATACAAACTTGAAGAAAACAGAATCATAAAGTACATCAGGTTTCATAGAGCTAAAACATTTCAAGTGCTACTCAACTGGCTTTAGATAAGCCAGCCCTTTATTAGTATAAAAGTGCTTTGTTAGTAATTCTATCGCTCGAAGTGGCGTCGAAAGAGTTGAGTTTTCAGTCTGCGCCGGAAGATATGTAAACTATCTGCTGTCCTGATTTCAATGGGGAGCTCATTCCGATTCCACTACAAGGCTATCGTTCGACTCCTTCTGGATTCAAAGCCTTGATTACAAGTCTCGTCGTTTCTTGTGAAACAACAAATCCCCTTTGAACAGCTCGTAGATGTAACCAACGATAGTCTTGTAGTCGCCCAGAACCAGTCATTTCCTCCTGCAGAAAGGAGACAATCTCCTCCAAGTCCGTTTGGTTCTTTCTTCTAAATAATAGACATCGTTTCTTGCACAACCTTTTCAAAGTTCTAATACTTATGATAATCTGATGCTGATGTGCCAAAAGATTAAGTATTTCGTTATTTGAGAAACCTAAACTAAAGTACTGCTTCACAAGATGCTCCACATTCCTCATTTTATTGCAGGACGCTGCTGTTGTCTCCTTCTCAAGTCACTTATGAAACTACGACTTTATTCTTGTAACTATGACTTTATTCTCGTATTATTACGACTTTATTCTCGAAATCTCTCTGTTTTTTTTTCTAAGTGTGGCCCTAATACTCCGTCGTATGGAACAGTCAAAATATGTTAGTAAAGAAATGCAACAGGAGCCTTTTAACTTATTGGAATTCAATTCAGATCTAATAAACTCTATGCCAAAACATTCACTTCTGAGTAGCCATAACCTCCTGTGAGACATGCAGGACCGATGTGCAAACACAACATGAAATGTGAATTATTTGGCATGTCCACATCTGTTATATCATTATAAAGCCAAGTCAACTTTAAGAAGTAATCCCTAGAGTTGGAGGAAAATAGATTTGTATTAAATGTTGACTTTGCTTGCCGTCTTCATGCTAAGCCTAGCTAAGCTAATTCTGGCTCTTGCTTCATCCTTGTTGTACAAATGAGAGTGAAATCATCTTACGTAAAGCGAAAAGATAAACTAGCATATTTCTTTAAATATCACACAATCTTTGACCTTCCTGAGTCATGCTCCACATCACCCTGGCTCTCCTTACCTTCAGATAGATAACGGCGTCGGTGCCAACGCCATCCATGGAGTACAGTTTCAGATCCCCCTGGAAGTATCGGGCGTAGAGCCTGGAAATCGGCAAACCGTAGCCAAATCCAGCCTGTTGGGAGGGGGGAGGGGGGAGGGGGAGGGAGAGGGAGAGGGAGGGGGGGTGGCAGAATGTGATTTCCCAGAAGTCATGAGAAATGTATGGGTGAAAATAGCTTTTGAAAAGGTCACATGGGGTCAATACTGGTGTGTTTTATGTAAAATGATGTAAAAGTAAGATGTCCAAAGTGATGTCTTTAAACACGTTTCTTTAGTTCAAACCCAAATATATTCACATAATTATTATAAAACAAAGACAAGATCAATATTTGTCAGACTGAAAACTGCATTTCGTGACATTTCTGCATGAAAAACGACCGATTATCCAAACATTTTGACTTGATTCTCCGGCATTGAGTCGACCAATGGCTGCAGGTTTAAGGACAAGCACTAATGGAGAGACTAGACATGAAGTGTGTGTGTGTGTGTGTGTGTGTGTGTGTGGTGTGTGTGTGTGTGTGTGTGTGTGTGTGTGTGTGTGTGTGTGTGTGTGTGTGTGTGTGTGTGTGTACCAGTGGCACAGTGCCTGGCTCCAGGCTGGGTGTAGGAGCCGTGGAGTACATGTAGTTAAACAGACGGTCGATCTTCCTCAGGGGAACTCCTCCTCCTCTGTCGCTGATCTGAGGGAGGAACGAGGCACAGATGCAGCGTGAGGAAGGACACACACTTATATGTGTAAAGGTGTGTGTGTATTCGTGTGTGATTTACCTTCACAGAGAGATCCTCTTTACCCAGAGTGACCTTGGCCTTCACTGGAGGTAACCCCTCCACGTTGTCCTCGTGAAGCTCCACCGTGGCTCTCATCGAGTTCTGCAAAAGTGAGTTATAGTCACACTGCAATTCAATTACAATGAAAGGGTATCTACTGAGCCCCCCCCCCCCCTCGATGCTGCACACTCTCACCTTGAAGAGCTCGAACAGCATGTGGAACAGATGAGAGGGAACGTACACCGCCTGGATGGGCTTATCGGGGGCCTTCACTGGAACAAAACAACAAAAAGAGGCGTGAGAAAAATGTATATTTGCATTTATTTATTAATTTACAGAACCACTACTAGTGCCAGATTTAGCCATGAAGCCTCATTTTTATCACCGGTCCCTAGCAGGTTGATGGCATTGATAGAAAACAAACCTTTTTGTAAACGTTATTGTCTTCCACCAATTTAATAATTTTTTGGCAACACATGTCAATGTACATGTCAATTGAGCCTATTACATTTAATTGTTATAGTATATTATGTTGTGTACATTTCTGGTCAAAAGAAATGTTGATATTTATTTAAAAGTGTACATCTTGGGACGTAAGACACATTACGTGAAATATTAGGAAAAGCAAATCAGAATCTCTTACTGTTGAACTCTTCAATCTTCAGCTTGGGAGCAGCTAGGTAATATTTCTCACAGAGCATCCGGGCTGTGTCGTAGGCATCTGAGGAAACAAAACACGAGTCGGGACGGAAGAAGGAGAGTTCCCGTTTTCATTCAGATTCATTTCTGCAGCTCTGGATCCTCGCTGCTAAACCTTTATTATTATATAAACATGCCGTTTACAGTAAATTAACTTGTTAGATTTGTGCCGCTGCAAATGCTGTGATATAACTCAAAATACAAACATTTCACTCATAGATCACAAATGCTCTGGCTGTGTGGTTTGTAACGATTGTATTATCAGAGGATTTTAAACTCACCAGTGACGACTTCAGCCACGCTGCAGGTGGGGTCGATGCTGCCGATGTGTTTGGGGTGTGCAGGGTTTGTGTCGTTACCGAACAGAAGAGCTGCACAGAAAGAAGAAATACAAGTTATTACAAATAATGAAATAAAAGCCGTTTCAAGAGAAGGGTCAGTCACAGAAATCTACAAGCTTCTAGGATAGACGAGTGCTTTCGCTGATACTGACTAAATTGAATATATAGTTAACGAAAATGATGAATATATGTTAAGTTATCTTCAGTACAGTAGGTTGTGGCAAGGCACTATGACATTTTAGTTAAGTTGTATGTTTTAGAGAGACAAGCTCATATTTTTTATTTAAAAATTGTATACATTTTTCAAGTTTAATTATATCCAAAGTTCAAAATAAGAGTTTAACAAATGCAGGATGTTTTTAAAAGTCAGTGGTGAATCATGTGTTAAATACTCATGATCTAAATATTCTCCAAAACCTCGAGCCCCCCCAGGAACAGACAGTATTTGTGGTGTAATGAAATGATTTGAAGAGAAGGGCCAGTCACGAAAATCTACGAGCTTCTAGGATAAACTGGAATATGTTGAATATAGTTTACCAAAATGATGAATATTTGTTAAGTTATCTTCAGTACAGAAGGCTGTGGCAGTGCACTATGAAGTATTGGATTTCTTTATTTAATTAAAAGTGAATTTGTATGTTTTATTGATATCTGATTCGTGGTGTTTCTGGGACTCACTGTGCTGGTTGATGAGCATGCGGAAGGAGATGCGGTTGGTGTAGAATCGGTCCAGGAAGTACTGGATGTTGCTGCTGATGAACGGGTCGAAGCCGAACTTCTCCTTGTACTCGATGACCCCCGCCGCCATGGTGGGAACCACGTCGTTGTGCCGGTTACGGATCTCAATCAACAGGTCCAGGAAACTGAGGAATAGATTACAAAAATGTAATGAGAAGGGAAAATAAATAGTTAAACAAACTCATCAATGAGCAACCTGTTGTGTCATTCTCAGAGGTGGGAAGAAGTGGAGTACAAATACTTCGTTACTGTACTTAAGTACATTGTTCTGGTGTCAGTACTTTACTCCACTACTTATTTTTCTGACCACTTTTTACTTTGACTTCTCACATGTTGAACTCAAATACCTGTACTTTCTACTTCTTACATGTTGAACTCAAATACCTGTACTTTCTACTTCTTACATGTTGAACCCAAATACCTGTACTTTCTACTTCTCACATGTTGAACACAAATACCTGTACTTTCTACTTCTTACATGTTGAACACAAATACCTGTACTTTCTACTTCTTACATGTTGAACTCAAATACCTGTACTTTCTACTTCTTACATGTTGAACACAAATACCTGTACTTTCTACTTCTTACATGTTGAACCCAAATACCTGTACTTTCTACTTCTTACATGTTGAACCCAAATACCTGTACTTTCTACTTCTTACATGTTGAACACAAATACCTGTACTTTCTACTTCTTACATGTTGAACCCAAATACCTGTACTTTCTACTTCTCACATGTTGAACACAAATACCTGTACTTTCTACTTCTTACATGTTGAACCCAAATACCTGTACTTTCTACTTCTTACATGTTGAACACAAATACCTGTACTTTCTACTTCTTACATGTTGAACTCAAATACCTGTACTTTCTACTTCTTACATGTTGAACACAAATACCTGTACTTTCTACTTCTTACATGTTGAAACCCAAATACCTGTACTTTCTACTTCTTACATGTTGAACCCAAATACCTGTACTTTCTACTTCTTACATGTTGAACACAAATACCTGTACTTTCTACTTCTTACATGTTGAACCCAAATACCTGTACTTTCTACTTCTCACATGTTGAACACAAATACCTGTACTTTCTACTTCTTACATGTTGAACTCAAATACCTGTACTTTCTACTTCTTACATGTTGAACACAAATACCTGTACTTTCTACTTCTCACATGTTGAACTCAAATACCTGTACTTTCTACTTCTTACATGTTGAACTCAAATACCTGTACTTTCTACTTCTTACATGTTGAACCCAAATACCTGTACTTTCTACTTCTTACATGTTGAACACAAATACCTGTACTTTCTACTTCTTACATGTTGAACACAAATACCTGTACTTTCTACTTCTTACATGTTGAACTCAAATACCTGTACTTTCTACTTCTCACATGTTGAACACAAATACCTGTACTTTCTACTTCTTACATGTTGAACTCAAATACCTGTACTTTCTACTTCTTACATGTTGAACTCAAATACCTGTACTTTCTACTTCTTACATGTTGAACACAAATACCTGTACTTTCTACTTCTTACATGTTGAACTCAAATACCTGTACTTTCTACTTCTTACATGTTGAACTCAAATACCTGTACTTTCTACTTCTTACATGTTGAACACAAATACCTGTACTTTCTACTTCTCACATGTTGAACACAAATACCTGTACTTTCTACTTCTCACATGTTGAACTCAAATACCTGTACTTTCTACTTCTTACATGTTGAACTCAAATACCTGTACTTTCTACTTCTTACATGTTGAACTCAAATACTTGTACTTTCTACTTCTCTCATTTTCCAAACAGCTGGTTCCTTTAGTCTGAATGTGTGTTTGATGCGTGATCATTATTCTTTAGAGTCATTGCGTGCCTATTGATTTGAACACGATCCGTGTATCCATCACTTCCTGGTCTTCTCTAAAGAAGAGGGACCAATGGAAACGTTGTCATGTTGCCGTTGTTCAGCATGGAAACATTCATTAGCTAACAATGACATTATTGTTCTGTTAATATAAAGGGAGGTCAGGTACTCTTTAAAACAGCTGCTAGTTATGGGTACTTTTTACTGAAGTACATTTCAAAGCCTCTTTACTTTGACTTGAGTAAAGAAGTTTAGTCAGTACTTCTACTTTTACCTGAGCATTTTAAACACGAGTATCTGTACTTCTACTTGAGTAAAGGATGTGTGTACTTTTGGCATCTCTGGTCATTCTGAGATCTTCAGTGAGGTTGGACATTGGCAAACATCATGCACAAGTTTCTATTATAAAAAAAAATTGGCTTTCATTTAATATCAAGAAATAAATTGCACTCAAAATGCTCAGTCAGAGTTTTTTAGAAAGTACATTTCTATCAGTTTTCTTGATCTAAAACTTCTTCACAAAGTATTAAGATGACTCATGATAGCTTGTTATCACTGTTCTTTTCATTTCCAGTGATCCACAGTCTCCATAGAAGCGTGACGGTCTTATCCAAATCCCTGTATGTTTTAATCTGTTGATCTGCGGGGGCATGGTGACATTAAAAACACTCAGCGCACCTGTGCAGACGGCACGTCTACATGCGCCAGCTTGCAAAATCTGCAGCTTACATATTGAACGCGCATTTTGTGAATCATTAATAAAAGACAGTGTTCTCTCACTCATTCAGAGCCTGAGGGTCCTCCGGCTTTCTGTTCTCATACTCCAACAGCTCCACGAAGCTTTGCATGTACCTGTTAAAACAGTCAGAGGGCAAAGGGCAGTTATTAACAACGCTATAAAACAGGGTGTCCAAACTACGGCAGATTAAAAAGGTATAATGGAATACGGCCCACAAATGAAACTTGAGCTTTTCTTGTATCGTACTTATTAAATATATCTGTAAACATATATAACACAGTAGTGTTCATGTGTTAATAAGCTCACTTTACAATAAATTCAGTCAATTACATTTGAAAATATGTTCTAACAAATAGAATATATCTTACAAAGTAGAACGACATTTCTTTGGCAGTAAAAAATAGACACAAATAAATAAATAAGAGTGGTAAAAGCAGAGGAGATCAAATTCAATGTCAAGTGCATATTTACACTATAGTCTAAAATATATATTAGTAAAATAGCCATAAGTATGTCTAAATCGTGGTGGTCTAAGTCGATAAGAAAAAAGCCCAATAACTTATATACATAACAAACCCTTCCTATTTCCTCTCATGATAATCAATCTGTTGTAAGGAATGAGCTGCTAACAAATGAAATGAAACTCTCTTAAAGCAGATTCAAGTATCAAGAATAATTTACCTACTTTTGATGGATTTTGCTAACTTATAACTGAACTTATGATGCAGTATACCTCTAGCGAGTGGCCCAGGCCTTCGTATGTTTTTCTGTATGTGGCCCTCTGTGAAAAACGTTTGGACACCCCTGATATAAATCGTATCAACAGGAAGCGATATGAAGTGTCTGGAGGAAGTACCATTTCTGCACCAGTCTGACGGAGGGCATGCCCAGCAGGGGGTCCGGCAGCAGGTTGGTCTCCCTCATGGTGTTGGCCAGACGCACCGGCAGCTCCTTACGCAGGAACATGTACGATGTTTTCTCACAAGCATTGTCCCGGCCTGAAACACGCAAACAAACAAACACATTCTCAAAGCAGCTGAGAGAGGAATATCTGGTAGAGATGAACATGTCATTGTTATCTTTTTCTGCCGGGACACAGGTTCAGAATTCTGCTTTTTGTTTTGCCTTTAGTCCTCATTGCTCATACTGTGGATTTCAAAAGACACTTGACTTTTCTGTCACAGTGGGTTTCTCAATCAAAACAATCTTTATCAGAGCTGCATTATCTGCTGAGTAACAGCAGTTACAAAGGGGGTTTTCTCCAAGCATCCTGTTTCAAAACACTAAGATTTATAGGTTTTTAAAAAGGAAAATGTGTTAAAAATTAAATTGTCTCACATGACCTCTTTGGTGTCACGAACCCTTTCCAACATGATGAAATAATGACAACATGCATTTGTTTTTAACCTTAAACCCCTGAAACGTGTGCATTTTTACATAGCAGAAAAGACTTGTGTTTTTGCTCTTCTCAAACTAAAAGCCTAGTGATTACACCCTGATAAGGAAACCCTAAATAAAGCAGTTTCAGGTAAATAATCGGAGTTTCTGTTTAAAAACACCATGATTTATACGTGTACAGGAAAAATGTGGCCTTAAACTAGAAAAAGACAATTGCAGACAACCCTGATGCTCAAAGTGTGACACCTTTACCCAAAAAATTGCACATTTCTCAGAAAGATATGGGATGATTTAAGTATACAACTCAGCTTTTAAGACACTTAAAAATGAATTTGTCACACATGACCTCTTTGGTGTCACGAACCCTTTCAAGCATGATGAAATAATGACAACATGCATTTGTTGTAAACCCCCCTGAAACGTCAGAAGATCTCTGTCTTGTAAAAAGTGGTTCTCTGCACCACAGTGACTGTCAGAGGAGGTAAACACCAAATGCCAAAATGGGAGCTGCAGTCAGTTTCAATTTTCAACCTTTAATATGACACCTTAAACTCTGCGGACACGCTGTCAAACATTAACCTGAAGCATACGAGTAAATCTTAAAGAGACGGGGAGTCTTAAAGGTTAGAAGGGTTTCACTTTTAGATCTACAGAGGAAAAACTGAATTACTGCCGTGTAATGGTAAAACTCTGTCTCAGGAACCACCGTGACTTTGCATTTTTTAACAACCGAAATGCAATGTACTCCAACGCCACATGAAAGCACACATATGCTTCCACTTCACTCCAAAAAAAGGTCTTCACACGATGCACAGACATGTTGTTCTTACAGGAAGCCTGATACTGGGATTCTGCACTGAGCGTGACCCTAACCCTTCAACACAGAGAGACGTTTCAGTGAAACTAGATGAGCTCGCAGAATAAAAGGACATATCCTCTCAGCAGCAGCTTCCTCTGATTCAGCAACACGGAGGCAGGGCTCCTACATGCTTACAAATTGGGAAATGAAAGCGCTGTCATCTCACATTTCAAGTCTCATCGTTAAGTTATTATTGACTCATGCAGAGAGAGGAAAACACTGAGTGCAGGTACTTAGAAAGAACCTTCTTGGAACTTTAATTTGTGTAATACAAAACTACAATTAATCAAGCTCTGAAAACAGCATCGAAAGATCGACATCAACCTGAAAGTAAAGAGTAAATATCAGCAGAAGCAAAACCACAGTCAAAAGTGCTGCACTCAAAAGCTGACTGAAGTAAAAGTACACACTCAATATTAAAGAAATATACTTTTTTTGTATACTACTAAAGTAACTTCACTCCGTATGCAAAAGGGCCCATATCAGAATAATACCTTATTATTGGATTAAATTGTGTTTATCACTATTATATTGCAGCTGGTACATACTGCTATCTAAAGCTGTAATAATGCACCTTAATGTATTACTTAAGTCATGTATTGTATCATTTGAATGCCTGAATCTGTAAATACAATTAAGTTATCATTAAATGAAGTTAGGAGGAAGTATAAAGTAGCATAACATGTCAAATAAAAAAGGTACCTCAAATTGGTACTTTTCCGAGTTAAAGTACTTCCTGTTACTGGCAAACATGAGTAACTTATTTGCACCATTGTGTCACTTGCACTGGTGTATTTCTAAGTCTGTTGTAAGATGCATTGCTTTCACTTTGACACTACATCTTGTAAATCTTGCAGTTTAAAAAACCCATGTAAGTAATCCTTCACCGCAGAAAAATATCTCTTAATTAAGCAGAGAGTCACGTGTCCACATAGTAAACACCTGCAGGCCTTCATCATGCACTGTGCTGTTTGTGCAGATAGAGAAAGGGAATGTCCTTCAGAGGACACCATAACAAAGTGTAATGTTACAAAATGCAATGAATAAACCCAATGAATGAATGCAAGGCCCCTGATATCATCAAGTCTTAAAGATGAAACTCACCAAAATCCAGAAACTGCTTAATGGAGAGAGGGGAGGGGGAGAACCTGGAGTAAAACTCGATTTTAGGGTTGGTGCTTTTCAGCAGAGACACGAAGATCCTCATTGTGCAAGTTTAATTTAACGATGATGCCTCAGAATGAAATTCAGAACACACACATCTCATCCCCGGTAGTGCTGACAGCAGAACCCGGAAAGTCCTGCTCTCTCCTGCGTCACAGAGGCTCCGCGGGCCACCGGAGGACAGACAGCAGAGAGGAGGGTGAGGATTAATGTCCATAAGGGAGCAGAAACACACCGATGATATGTTGCAAAGAAGGCTTCCTGGATCTACATTGTTGAACATTCAGTCCAGGACAACACTTTCAAGCTAGACGTGATCAAACGTCGATTTCCTGTTAGGGTTTTTCAAAATAAAACAACAGGCTGGAGGAACTAATGGGATAGATAGATAGATAGATAGATAGATAGATAGATAGATATACAGATAGATAGATAGATAGATAGATAGATAGATAGATGGATAGATAGATAGATAGATAGATAGATGGATAGATAGATAGATAGATAGATAGATAGATAGATAGATAGATAGATAGATAGATAGATGGATAGATAGATAGATAGATAGATAGATAGATAGATAGATAGATGGATAGATAGATAGATAGATAGATAGATGGATAGATAGATAGATAGATAGATAGATAGATAGATAGATAGATAGATAGATAGATAGATAGACGGATAGACGGACGGACGGACAGACAGACAGACAGACAGACAGACATACAGACATACAGACATACAGAGACAGATGGATAGATATATAGATATATATAGAGAGAGAGGGAGAGAGATGGATATAGATAGAGAGAGAGAGAGAGAGAGAGAGAGAGAGAGAGAGAGAGAGAGAGAGAGAGAGAGAGATAGATAGATAGATAGATATCCAGTAACAAATATAATGCAGAATATTATTGTGTAAGACATGGATTATTCAATATTAAATGTAATATAAATGATATGATTTTAAAGTAGGAAGGGACCCGTTATAGTTGTTTTTTAAGTGGCTTTTTATATATTTTATTTGTAATTAAATATTACTTTTTCCTTCCTAATTTTAATTTACAAATGGTATAACAGGGTCAAACAATGACATGCCAAAAGAAACAAAGGTGCATAAACTCTATGGTAGCCTTAATTATAATTATAACACACGACACAAACAACGTATTAAATCAATTAAAGCCAGTTTAATCTACAGATATTTTAGATTCTATTTTATTTTAAAGGAACATTCTTCAGAGTTCCCTTTTTTTGCATCAGCTTGACAGTTGAACCAGATTCAACCGCACTTGACTCTGGCTTGTTGATGCACTGCGGTGATTGGCTGAAAATCAGGAAGTGGGTGAAAGCGATGACTCTATTGGACCGGCTGCCTGTCAATCACCGTCGTTACTTTGTTTATCTGCAGCCTCTTACCGTAATACAACAGGTTATTTCCACCGTCTGTTTACATATGACACATGTGATTTGGTGACTGGCTTAAAACTGGTTTACTGATGCAAAATGTCCCATTGCATTGTAGGAAGGCTATTGTTATGGCAACTACCTGTAAAAGTATTAAGGCAGGTATGGATTATTATGATATATTTAGGTTATGTACTACACTGAAAGTATGTAGGTAAATGTAGGGAAATACTATTATATTTTATTTTGTTAGATTATTATGACTCGTGTAAGTAGTATTATTATGTTGGTTGAGGTCTCATGACTTATAATTCAATACATATTACAATAAAACATATACCTAGATACACTTGTTCTTTATTTTATGCTTTAATTGTTAAGTTTGTAAAAAATACTATAATTAGTCAGAAATGCCATCACAATTACCGAAACGAGACACCTTCACAACGTCAACATTATTAAAAATAAAAATAAATACAATCATTTTCATTCACAATTGAACGATTTGAATTCCCAGATGTTATATTTAAGCAAGTCAACAATTAATAAGCTATGCTTGTTTATGATTGGAACAGTGTGTGTGAAGTTCTCCTTCCTCCCAGACATGATGAATATGTACTGTATGTCTGCGGTGTCTTAATAAATATTGAATATGTTCATATTAATTGTACAAACAGTTCAAGAACAAGACAGCCTCTGGTCATAAACACTGGCAGCTCATGATAAGCAGGTATCCTCCAGATTTAGGTTCTTACTGCCCCCTAGCGGTGAGTGTGTGAAACTGAAAATATGAATGACGCCGCAGAGAGACATGCAGTGTAAAATGCTGAAACTACAAGATAACAATTCAATGTATTTCATTTACGACTCACAGAAATACAGGTATAAATAAGTGGTGGGTTTCACATTATATTTGGGGTCCTATCATTTCTTGTGATTTCCTAGAACGTAATTTATACTTCGATTTGTTATAAATACTTACACACTCTTTTGGTCAATGTTCATAAAGTAGCCTGAAGAGAATAGTCACACACACATACAGAGAAAAATCTAAATTTCTACTGATAAATTATAAATAAAACAATGTTTAGTTTTAACTGAGCAGTCACTTCAGTTGCACTTTTTACCACCGTTTCTTCTCCAGGACAATTATGAACATGTCAAATGTCAATAATGTATAAATGCATCGTCTCTTTTTTTGGTCAAATCTAATTGAAATGACAAAAATGGGAACAAATATAACTGCTGCGGTGTGATTTGTGTGAGCAGTCAATCAATCAGTGTTGTACAAAGCTTGAATTTTACATATTTAATTTACATATCATTCATAAACATGTATCTTTATTGACTTATATAATCTCTTAACCAAACACTTGCAGGTAATAAAACACACACACATAGCCATACTTGCCACACTTGAGACCTCAGCATTTCAAAACCACCGCGACGGGGGGGGGGGGTGGTAGTGGATCGCCGGAGCTGTATTAAATTAACATTAACATGCTTATTGTAGTTCTAAGTGCACTGCCTTGCGGCCTGTAGCACCATCCTTGATGGAGCATAGTGTGGGCTGGACCTGTATTTTACAGGAGAGGAGTGAGCAGAGGGTAGAGTTGTCGATTCTTGTTCTGTTTTCTGTGACTATCTGCCTCACCCTCTCAGACGCGCTACCATGAAAACCAAACAATGGTGTAGCTGCATTAAAGTCCGAGTGGAAACAGTCCTGAGTAAATCTGATTTTGTCAGAAATCGGTAGAAATATGACCCCGGAAGGAAACCGGGAGAGGGCAGTGAAATCGGGAGGGTTGGCAAGTATGCACATACCACATACCACATACCACACACACACACACACACACACACACACACACACACACACACACACACACACACACACACACACACACACACACACACACACACACACACACACACACACACACACACACACACACACACACACACACACACACACACACACACACACACACACACACACACACACACACACACACACACACACACACCCTCATGCGGACCCGTGTACTGCCACCATCTTGGTGTTTTCGTTGATTTCTCTCTGCTCGTCCGGTAACGGGTCGTACTGTCGGCGGTAAAGCAGCCGCGTCACCAGCGTGATGATGAACATCTCCAGGATCAAAAGCTGCTGACCCATCACTGAGGGGAGACATGAGTCAGCACTTTGTCACACACTTGTCTCAAAACGGTTCCTTGAAATAAGGTCTGTGATTAACACAAGCTGAAGAGTTTCTGTTTTACAACAGAAAATACGTCAGTAAATTCACCAATTGTACATTTTTAAGCGTTTAAGTGTCACTTCAGGCCTTTTCATTCGAGTCTATCTTCAATATTATGTCTTGTTTTAGGCTACATAACTCTGTCTATCTGTGTCTGTAGATTACTCCTAAATTCCCCAAAAGTCAGCATTACATAACGCCTCAAAAGAATATTTAAACATAACATTTAATAAAACTGATTTATGGAGCATTTTATCACTAAAATATGTCCAAATTGATATGCCAAAATTCCTATTTCACACATCTGGTCTTAAAACCTTCACCCTATTTGCCTGTAGTGTCTCCCCCTAAAACAACTGATTGCTCACAAGTGACTAAAGGAAACTACAGATATTTTCAGATACTATTAATAACATTTGAATGCTTTATTGATTTGAATGCATGCGTTTCTCCGTGTTGACTCACTGTATCCTCTGGCCGTGGCGGAGAAGGGCGGAGTGCAGGCGATGGTGCCTTTCAACGCCAAGATGTTGATGATGGCTGTCTGCAGCTGGCTCAAGATCAGCAACAGCTACACACACACACACACACACACACACACACACACACACACACACACACACACACACACACACACACACACACACACACACACACACACACACACACACACACACACACACACACACACACACACACAAATATCCACTGTTAAACCTGACAAACAATGTAAAACCCAGTAAAAACCTTATGACCGTCCTATATCCTGACATGTTATTAGAAATGTTGACATACATATATGAGCTGGGAGGTGTGTGTGAAAATTAATTTGATATGCTACACAAATATGGCCAGGATCCGTTCTGAATATTGTGTTGCAGATTTAGATTAACATGTTCCAAAGGGGGTTCGTTTAGCATGAAGCACTTGAAATAACTGAAGGATAAGTTAAAAAAGAAAGTGAGGTCAAAGGAAACTATTTCTGCTAAAAAGTGAGCAATGATTGAGAGTCAGAGCTAAACATTTCAGATGTGTGTATCTCACACTGCACGGTCACTTTAATTAATGTTCCTTTGTTATTCATGTTTTATTATCTTTGCTTTTAAATGAGCGTTTTTGTAATATGTGTAATGTCTTTCATTTGTGTAAAGCACTTTGAATTGCCTTGTGTTGAAACGTGCTGGATAAATAAACTTGCCTTTCTCCTCCAGATTACGGCACTATCAGGAAAGTGTGTGTGTGTGTGTGTGTGTGTGTGTGTGTGTGTGTGTGTGTGTGTGTGTGTGTGTGTGTGTGTGTGTGTGTGTGTGTGGCTAATATTTAACCAGATAAAAGCATTGAGATAAAATCTAATTTTCAAAGCTGACCTGGCCAAGAAGGCAGCAGCGTTACCCAGAACACAAACATATAAAATACAGAGAACATTACTAAGAAAGCAAAAGACGAAAAGCAGTTACTACATTGAGCACATTAGGACAGTAAGAAAGGTGCACTACTTATTACTGCAAGAGCAGCTGGTAGTAAGGACTTCACACAACTTCAACTTAAAACATGCTATTGAGACAAGTGCCCTCAGTTTGAGGCGTGATTGAAGGTCATTCCAAGACCAAGGACCGTAATGAAAAAGACTCCTTTTCCAAGCCTCAGTCCGCACAGCAGGAACCTGGACCCGTATCCAGGCTCTGGGTCTGAGGTTGTAAGAGTCACAAACTGGAGCAAATATGGCACATATGTAGAGTGGAAGCTTTCCTAAAATGGCTTTATACATGAATAAAAACCAATGCTGCATCCTACGCATAGTAAGTGAGGACCATCCAGTTAGGCTATGCAGTTTGCAATGATGAGTCCTATAGGGTGCATTTGACATATAACGTTTAAAGAGTCTCACCTGGTACATGGCGTACTTGGGGATGATCTTGAGGGTCCGCAGGGTGACCCTCAGGTGCATAAACATGATGGCGACCGGCCACAGGGCTATGATCGTCAGGATGCCCACGAACGGGTTGATCCAGATCGCTGTTCCTGTGATGGTCAACTGGAACATGAAATAATACAACATTTCCATTTGAGTCATTATGCCTTTACATTTGTGTTAAAATAACGATATTAACATTGCTATTGCTCTAAGAGTCTTAAATGGATGCCCATGTTTTACTTTCTTCTTCTCATCAGAATTAGTTATTTATCCTCGGGGGGAAATTAGGGTTCTTGAAAGTTGTTCATTTTCTTTTTTTAAATTACATTTTAATCTTTTACTCTCTCCCAGGAAACACTTGTAATAGCACAGCCTAAAGTAATGTGTAACTGAAGGGTCACAGTGACTTCATTAATCAGTGACTCGTAAATGTAAGTATAGTGGCGTAGAACATGTGTTGGTAAATATGTTACTTTGTTACATTTGTTTGTTATCACAAACAATATGTTCCGTGAAAGTAAAGCAAGTTCATAATTAGATAGACATCGTGAGGTATTTATTTTCGGTACAGTTTATGTTGAAACCGTTAGAGAGAGTGGCACACTTGTTAGCCTGTTCCATTCTTCTTCGTTTTCCGAAGCCGTGGCTTGGAAGCATACTTGCTTCGTTTCTGAAGGAAGTGACTTGGAAGTATGCGACTACCAAGCCAGCATCCTCGCGATTGAGAAACGGCCAATGAGTCTCAAATGATCTTTTCCATGCAAGGAAGTCATTAAAGATTCACGAAGCATTAACCAATCACACAAGCTCATAATGTCTCGAGTAGTGAGGAACATCAATTACTGACACATGAATCCATTCAATCATCATGACTCAAACGCAGAATTAGTTACAATTGAATTAAGCATGTTAATTAATTAGTTAGAGAGACAGAGAGGATAATTATCATTGCTTAAGACGCATGAATCACCGAAGGACTGATAACGATGTTTAAAATCCATATTAATAATGTATTTATTTAATTATTTTGCACAAGATATAAAAATGTGTTTGCTCATTTAGGGCAAGTGTTAAATACTTATACACCACTTTATATATTGAAATATACACAGTTTTGCATATTTATTGTTACCTATTTAAGTACAATGTGCATATATTTACTTGTTATCGAAGTATAAATATATGTATATAACATTTTTTCTTCTTAATGCACGTTTTTTACTTCTTACATTTACTTAAATATTGAATTATAAAATAGAATCAAACTGATTTCACTCCGGGAAGAACAAACTAATCTGATTTTGGTAATAAGTGCTGCAGGGCAACTCCTAAAAAATGATATGCAAACAACAGTTGGGAATCTGTCTTGTTATGTGTGTAGATAAATGAGAATAGCACTCACGTCGGACAGGTCGAAGGTGCCGTTGGTCCACAGCACAATGGAGAGGATGGTGAAGACAATCTTTAGGATGGCAAACTGGAAGGAGCCCAGTTTGAGCAGGAAGAGCGTGCGCCTGGAGGACGAACAGAGGAAACGTTTCAGAGACGCTGCTGATGACAGATAATGCTTTTAATCCCCAAACGTATTACAAAAACCTCCTGAAAAGTCTAATGTGAAACCCAGCAATGCCCTGATCCATCCTGAATTATTACCGCAGGATGTTAGGAACAATTCAGGGCACATCTATTGTCTGCTGAACAACAACAACAACGTTAAAACTCCCTCTTGGTGCATCATACCGCTGCTGGGAAACTGGGCGCTGCATTCAAGAAAAAAGGAGAGTTTACAAGAAACAACTTTGTGTTATTTTCATTGTTCAGCAGTGCATAACGGTAAATAGGAACATGTGTTTGGCGTATGCATTATGATAATTATCCATATTACATGTTAGACGCTTTTATCCAAAGCGACCTACATACTCAATACTGTGGGCAATCCCCACAGGAGCACTTTGGACGGGCAACGACATGCTGACTGCAGTGGGGTTTGAACCTGTGCCCCCCTGATCCGAACACACAACCCACTGCGCCACACGCCTCCTAATATTGAATATAAGTCGTGAACATTTAGGTACGATAAGTAGATACCAACTAAATAATCCTGGGTCATGTCCCTATCATAGGATAAATTAATCACGTCAGGTCATTTACACATATCGTACAATAAGTGGTAAAGTAAAAAAGAGGTCATTCATACAATAAGTAGATTTTTTTGTTAGAATTGCACATATTTAAACCTAATGTTCCTGCTATAGACTTCAAAAAACTATTCACGACAACACACACTGTTATGATACACACTGGACCCGGTCTTTAAAGAGTTGAATGACCAGGAGTTTGTCAACCTGCCTTCACATCTCTGAGCTTAGGCAATCTCCAAACAGACCAGAACCACATCAAAGTGCACGACTGTGACTAAAACAACACGTCATGTCAATCAGTAACGTGGTATAGCTCAGATTTAAAGATACGTGTATTACTTTCAAAAATATGGCTAAAGTGGCTCTACGGCTAATGCTAACTTTTCTGTTGTAATTCAGGCAAATGACGACTTTCCAATAAACCTGGCACGAGTTACTTCAAACACCCGTTTCAAACTGATAAAAAGACAGTTACTTGTGTTATCATAACGTTTACTAAGGAGACTCGAGGAGACATGCAATGTGAGTCAATTGCATTCATGGGAAACACAGCAGGTTGAAAGAATTGAATTGAAAAATGTAATCGTTATCAACTTGTAGCTTAATTTGAGCAGCTGTACCGCTAAGATAAGCTAATGGGTTGCTGGCAGTTCACTGAATGGACACACGTGAGAGTGATTTCAAGCTCCCCATGTGACTCCTGGCTAGGAATAAGGAATTTCCCCTAACTATATTTAGTACTCCCTAAGGAAAGCTAGGGTTTGGTTATCATTCTGCTCGATCTTGAAACCAAATAGACCAGTAGCTAGAAGATAAATCTCATGTTTACATTACTGACTGACTCAACAGTTGATACCAAAACACCTGAGACACAGAGCAGTATGAAAAGCTGTTAGTTGGCTAACCACTAACATAGGTCTCCTTAAACAAAAATTGTACAATTTTGTTTTTGGTAAGAAACTGGATTAATTGCAGTTGTTGGATGTTTTTACAGGGATTTTAAAAAGGTGTTAGACAGGGAATATGATTTGATTCCCATTAGATTCAAGATGCAAAGGTTTTATTGTCATATATATAATTCTTCTGACCTGAGCTCCTCCAACAATACAACATATATAACAAAATACAAAATAAAAAAGTCTAATACTGGCACTAAACAGATATTTCTTGCACCTTTGAAAATGTGAATCTAATAAACAGATGATTGAAATAAACAAAAAGAAAAAAAGTGGACTATTGATGCCAGTATATCTCAGATTTACAGTACTGACTGACTCAACACGTGATAACAAAACATCTCCTAAAAGACTCCAGGAGCAGATTTCTAAATCCCCAGCATGCGTTGGGAACTCTCCAACAACTTGCTGCTGTTTAAACCAACATGTGCTCCTCAGCTCACACCCGGGGGCTTGCTAGAGATACAGAGTTGGATGAAAAGCAGAACATTGATGCCAGTATATCTCAGTTTACCGTGTGATTTCCACGTGAGGCAGGCAGAGGCAGCAGCAGCAGCACGGCCCGGTGCTGATCTTCAGTTTATATCTGCCCGCTCGCTTCAGGAAGCCCTCGTCCCCCCCCACCTCCTCCACCATGAGGATCAGGAACTTGAACACCACCACCGCAAAGTAGCTATGGTGAGGAAGGGGATGAGAAATGAGAAGACGTGCTGGAACATTCACTACAACTGCACAGAGATGGCAAAAGTACACATCCTTTACTCAAGTACAGATACTTGTGTTTAAAAATACTCTGGTGAAAGTAGAAGTACTGACTAAACTTCTTTACTCAAGTGAAAGTAAAGAAGCTTTGAAATGTACTTCAGTAAAAAGTACACATAACTAGCAGCTGTTTTAAAGAGTACCTGACCTCCCTTTATATTAATAGAACAATGATGTCATTGTTAGCTAATGAATGTTTCCATGCTGAACAACGGCAACATGACAACGTTTCCATTGGTCCCTCTTCTTTAGAGAAGACCAGGAAATGATGGATACACGGATTGTGTTCAAATCAATAGGCACGCAATGACTCTAAAGAATAATGATCACGCATCAAACACACATTCAGACTAAAGGAACCAGCTGTTTGGAAAATGAGAGAAGTAGAAAGTACAGGTATTTGAGTTCAACATGAGAGAAGTAGAAAGTACAGGTATTTGTGTTCAACATGTAAGAAGTAGAAAGTACAGGTATTTGAGTTCAACATGTAAGAAGTAGAAAGTACAGGTATTTGAGTTCAACATGTAAGAAGTAGAAAGTACAGGTATTTGAGTTCAACATGAGAGAAGTAGAAAGTACAGGTATTTGAGTTCAACATGTAAGAAGTAGAAAGTACAGGTATTTCTGTTCAACATGTAAGAAGTAGAAAGTACAGGTATTTGTGTTCAACATGTAAGAAGTAGAAAGTACAGGTATTTGTGTTCAACATGTAAGAAGTAGAAAGTACAGGTATTTGTGTTCAACATGTGAGAAGTAGAAAGTACAGGTATTTGTGTTCAACATGTGAGAAGTAGAAAGTTCAGGTATTTGTGTTCAACATGTGAGAAGTAGAAAGTACAGGTATTTGGGTTCAACATGTAAGAAGTAGAAAGTACAGGTATTTGTGTTCAACATGTAAGAAGTAGAAAGTACAGGTATTTGTGTTCAACATGTGAGAAGTAGAAAGTTCAGGTATTTGTGTTCAACATGTAAGAAGTAGAAAGTTCAGGTATTTGTGTTCAACATGTGAGAAGTAGAAAGTTCAGGTATTTGTGTTCAACATGTAAGAAGTAGAAAGTACAGGTATTTGTGTTCAACATGTGAGAAGTAGAAAGTACAGGTATTTGTGTTCAACATGTGAGAAGTAGAAAGTACAGGTATTTGAGTTCAACATGTAAGAAGTAGAAAGTACAGGTATTTGAGTTCAACATGTAAGAAGTAGAAAGTACAGGTATTAGTGTTCAACATGTGAGAAGTAGAAAGTACAGGTATTTGTGTTCAACATGTGAGAAGTAGAAAGTACAGGTATTTGAGTTCAACATGTGAGAAGTAGAAAGTACAGGTATTTGAGTTCAACATGTGAGAAGTAGAAAGTACAGGTATTAGTGTTCAAAATGTAAGAAGTAAAAGTCAAAAGTCGTGGAGTAAAGTATTGATACCAGAAACATGTACTTAAGTACAGTAACGAAGTTTGCAACACATATTCTCTTGCCTGTTTACAGACCTTGTAGAAGGGATACAAAGACGGTACACCACAGGAGCGAGATGCATTTGGAAAAAGAGGACTTTTTAGTTATCTAAAGGGTGTAACCATAGGATTAGCATCATCCAGTGTTTTACATTAATCGTAGTATGCACGGCTGGCACCCCTACGGCGAAGAAACTACGCAGAGAAATGTCACTAAGGGATGAGTCGTGTTTACAGAATTTGGGTTTTCAGAATTTCTGATGTACTATTTTCCGTTCTCGTGAAAAAAGAAAAGTGTGTTTGCAACTCTTATAACAGTGACATTGAGGGTAGACCATGGGAGCATCATGACTTCATTTGGAAAAGGAGAACAGTTACGTTTAAGACATAAGGCATCAGGGTTTAATCATGCATATTGGTTCTTGTTAGCGATGTAAACAGCTTAGCAGGGGTAATTCTGTGGAACAAGTGTGTCTAAATGACTTGTTTACATGAGTGTAGGTAGATGAGTCAGTGAGAGGGGAATACAAGAAGAAATTAGCACATGTTTTAGAGCTCAGAGAGGAGGGAAGCCAAAACGTCCCCACACGTTGCACAACAGCACCACTGTTTTCTATAAATGTCAGCGGGCTATGAGGTTCAGGTTTCCCTGTGTGGCTCTGTGGGTGAAAAGCAACACACAGCACAGTGAGATCTGGAAGCTGAGACAAAGGGAAACAGAAACCCACCATGCTGAGGTCATATCAGTGAACATGGTGGCTCTGGGGATCCACATCCCAACACACGACATGGTGCCGATCACCTGGAAAACAGAGGAGAGACTGTGAGAAATAATCAATATATTGAACTTTTAAAGGACATCATTTACTATAGCGGCGTTTTCCCACAGACCGGATTTGGGCGACACCTTGGAGTTCTGGTTTCAGGTTGTTATTTGTTTTTAGCCTCACAGTAGCATGTAGCTAACAGTATATTGTGTATGTGAGTATAAGGAGAATGACGCGTGGAGATACTACACACATCGTCTCAAACTCTCACTCATCGACGCTGCATTACTACAATTATTATGTGTTTAAGGACCAACAAACATCATGGCTACGTCATCAGAGGACTACAGAAGAAGACCCGTCCACGTCAGCCAATGGAAGAAGACTAAATACGAGTGGGAAGATAGAGAAACTTTTTATATATATCCTGCTGCTATGGACAATTGTGTACTCCCGTCTTTTTTTATATATATATCCTGCTTACTGAAGTAAACGGTTATTTTGTGGGGCTTTTTTGTAAATGATTGAGTGTTCTTGCATTTTAATGTGTGAGCTTTTTATACCTCGGGACTGCGGGAAACAGTATTTCGATCTTTCTGTGTGTACAAACATTTTGAGATTGACAATAAAGTTGACTTTGAGAAACGTTCTCTTTTATTCATGCGACAGCTAACTGCTTAAAGTGGACTGTGGACCAGTGAATTGAATAGAGGGACCACAGGTGTGTTCCCTTGTAAACCTACTATACTATTGCATTAATAAATACTGTTAAACTTTTCGAGAAGCTTCCTGGTCTTCTTTGGACTAACTCTTGGTCTTCAAACAAAGAATACACGACAAGAAGATCCATTTTACCCGACATGTTTTCAGAGTCTCTACGTCACGATCTGTCCGTGTTGTGTCTTGTCTTTTTCTGTCTTTGGTTTCCTGTTTAATTTTGTAAAGTGTTCACCCCCCGTTCCTGCCTGTTGCTTTCTGTCTGTTTTCCCTCCCTGATTACCAGATTGTGTTCCCCTGGTGCCCCTGTGTTTTCTCCTCCCTCCTCACCTGTCTCTTGTTTGTTTGATTAGTCCTGTGTGTATTTAGGTTCTGTGTTTTCTGTTAGTCTTTGTGAGTTCCTTGGCGTATTTGGACGTTGTTCACGGGCTGAGAGTACTGTTTGTTTCAGTAGCCTTGAAATAAAGGTATTTTTTCTGTTCATCTGCATTTGGGTCCTGCTTGCCTCACTCAGCCCTGACACTCTACCTACCGGTGCCGCCCCGTTCACCCAGATGATCAAACTCTTCTTGTTGTTGGGCACTTTCCTATAGATGTACACACACTCCTCCACGAAGACCAGCATGGACACGGCGGCCATGAAGGTGAGCACAGAGTAGAGGACGATGCCGAAAATGTCCAACTCTGGAAAAGACAGAAGAGAAGTTACAATGAAAGTCAGACGTGAGCTGGGATTCTGCACAGGAAATTGAGATTGATAAGATCTTTATGAAGGTAATGGGTAATTATATTAGCCTTGAAATATTTATACAGGCAGGAGGAATGCATGACTGCCAGAGAATAACAAGTAGGATAGAGAAAATCTTGTTTCGGTATAATAGCTATGATTTTCACCATCTTAGATTAGCGTGTTAGCATGGTAGCACTTTCTAAATGACTTACATTTCAAATCTAAGGATGATGCATGTCATTAGTTACGTCACTATAACCGAAATACGTCACTATACCCAAGAAGTAAACAATGGAAAAAGAGAAATCTCCAACGAGGCGTTCTGGGGCAGCACAGACAGGTCTTCTCTGTGTTAGCGTTGTACTCGCTACAGGGTGTACTTTGAGGGCTTGTGACTCTGCAGACCGTTTACATGCAGAAAAACCTTCATAACAACAAGGGGACGGGTGATAACCGGAAAAGCATAACATGGGACCTTTAAATCCTCTAATATATTATAAATTGTTACTTGATCAATAACAAAAAGAGCCAGATGTTGAGGGTTTGTTTCTTACAGTAAATATTGAAGTGAAACCACAGATGAAAATCAAATGCATTAAAGTCTTCTGCTTCCAGCATTTGCTTGTCTTGATTCTCATAACGCCGTATGCAACACAGGCTTATTGAGCTTTCATCAAAACACAAGATTATTTATTCCTCAGCCTGGCGAACAAACAGACCCAAAATGATCAAAGCACGCAGGTAGTATTATTCACACTGATGGGAAGTAACAAGGTGTCCTTTCCAGGAAGCAGCAGGAAAGAGAGAGCAATGAAACTGTGCGAGGAAGGGGGGAGTAAAGTGTTTCAACATGCTGACAGTAAATTGTCCGTTTTTACCGAAATGAGTCATTTATTCTCTGATATCCAAAGTCATCAGGAGGTAATCAGCAAACACATAAACATTCATCTCCCTATAGCTGGCCCTCTGTTGCATTTGTTGTTTTTTAATCCACCGCATACTTTGGTAATTGTTTCTGAACTCTGCTGTGTCATTATTCTAATTCATCTATTTAAACTACTGAGCAAAACTTCAGTGGTGCTATTCGTAAGCATCTTTGTGCAATAAAAAGACTTAAGATGGTTTTGTTCACTGACTAAAGTGATCCAGATGTTACTTGTGAGACTTTATTTAAAGCCCAAACAATGCAATGTGTTCTTGGAGTACTACCAATATCTATTTTAGGTAGTCTGATAATAATACATCAACCTTTTTCGCGTGCAAAACACAAAATAATTGACATTTTAAACAAGAATCTATTCTGACATATATATTAAATATACGTTTGTGGTGGACCATATTCCTAAATTACCCATAGCATTTTAGTTTCTTATCTACTGGCTGATATACACACTGACCAATTTGCTGCCCTAGGCAAGATTTAATATCTGCATATATCCGGTGTCATGTCTAGGAAACTAATAGTGAAAGTGTATTCTTTATGTTAGTTTTGTCATGTCCCTTTGCCCTGTGCTTTATGTTTATTCCCTTAATTAATCATCCCTCTCATTTCAGGCCTCCACGCTCCCCGCCCCCTTCTGTCTCCTGCGTCCTTGATTGTTTTCCCCGCCCTGATTGTTTCCACCTGTGTCCCCTTTACCTGTGTATATATTGTGGTAGCTTCCTCCTGTTCATTGTCAGTTCGTTGTCTTACTATGACCCACGTTCCTGATTACCTCACGGACTTCCCACGGATCTACCTCATTGATCACTGGCTAGTTTTCCTCGAAAGAGTATATTTGTTTTCCTTGTTTTGATTACTGTGCTAAATTCCGGTAAAGTCTTTATTTTTTGAGAACACTATCTGAGTCGTGCAATTGAGTTCATGCCTCAGAGTCTCTCCTTGACATCCGGTGCTTTGATTACACATAATGAGAAGTCCGACTGTACAAATGAGTGGTAGATGTTCAACAGTCACTCTTAGTCATGAAGTACAAAATCAAAAAGAAAAAGGCAACATAAAAATAACTAAATAATGCACACAAAGTCAATTTATGAAGCTAGGAAACCACAATGTAAGAGTGCAATTTGATTAAAATGTATTTAAACGTTACTGTGGAGGAATCACCATTCTCAAAAAGCATTTATTAGTCTCCCTTTTATTGTAAGTTCACACAAAACACATTCACTAAGTGACTTATTGCATTTAAGTCATTAATAATGTCACGATCTGTCTTTATGGTGTTTTGTCTTGTTTTATGTTGAAAGGTCTTCACTTCCTGTCTTGCCTGTTTCTGTCTGCATTGTGTCTTGTTTAAATCTGTCTGTGGTTCCCGGTCGTTAGTTTCCCTGGTGTGTCTAATTTACCCGATTGTGTTCACCTGGTGTCCCTGTGTTTTCTCCTCCCTCCTCACCCGTGTCTTGTTGCTGTGATTAGTCTTGTGTGTATTTAAGTTCTGGTTTTTCTGTCTGTCTTTGTCGGTTCGTCTTTTGTCATGACTAGTTTGTCGGTGAGTGTTCTGTTTTGTCTTTGTTTTCACCTAGCCTTGAAATAAAGGAATTTCCACTTTCTTCTGCATTTGGGTCCTACCTGCTTCACACACCGTGACAAATAATGAGCTCTATTTCAGTGGATTTTCTCCCTACAGCAGGGGTGTCAAACTCAAATACACAGTGGGCCAAAATAAAAAAAATGGGTACTAGTGGAGGGCCGGACTGGTTCAATGTTTATTGCAAAACTTATTGAAATGAACTTATTGCACATATTCAACCTGGAACTAACAAAGCTTAAATTATTGCCTATAAAAACAACATTAAACCTTAAATAATCAGTTGCATTCATTTCTTATGGCTCTATCTGCAGCTTTTCCAGAGTCATTTCTTACGATTACATTTTTCCACAGGCCAACAACAGCTTCAACAAAACTATTTCCCTCCAAAACCAAACATGCCCTGTTGTCGTGAGAGAGAAAGTGCAGAAGGAAACATCCATTGAGCTCAGTGTGCTGCTCTGTGATGCTAGCTCAGATACTTAGCATCTCATCTTGGGTGCAAGGTCATCAATGTTTGGGCTCAGGATCTGAGTTGAGGAGACCCTCAGGATGGAGTGAAGGTACAATATACCGGCGGGCCAGATCTAATAGGAATTAAAATTATCCTGCGGGCCGAAATCGAATCCACCAAGGGCCTGATTTGGCCCCCGGGCCTTGAGTTTGACACATGTGCCCTACAGGATGTTAAAACCTCAGGGTTTTCTGAGCAGTGAGTGTAACGGATAAGTCAAAGCCTATAAAACATGAATTCACAAAAGCACTGCCACCCGGGTTGAATGGATTAGCGGATTATCTGATAAATTGTTGAAGTTGTAAACACAGAAAACTGAGCTCTGTCTGAACACGTTGCGTTAATGTGTTCACTGCAGAGGTGGGATGGCAACTGTTGGGGAATATTTTCCAAGGCCCATAACTTTGACCCAGTTTATCAGTTCAAACTGTCCTGACTGAGCACACGCACCTCGTAACCTTGGCTGCTGTGCTCTCAGTGTTCTGCTCCTGCCTGCTGGCGTCAGCTGATAGAGGTGTTATGATTCTATCTTGTTATGCAGCATGTTGATGATGCTCTCGGAACTAGCTAAATACACGGGTCTGGGGTAGAGTTCTTCAGAGTTGACGTGGCAACTCTACCGTGCAGTCAGATCGTGGCTGCTGTGACTTGTGATGTGAATTCTCCGGCTGAAGCTCCAAATAAACCATCAGTGTTTGACATCAAAGCTCCTGCTCTTCCCGTGTCTCTTTCCTGAGTCGGTGACTCCCACTGCATTGCTGCACAGAAGTTTCCCTTACAGCAATAAGTATATTTACTCAAGAAAGTAGGCTTCCTATATAGTATGTCAAATGTTGAGGTACTTGTACTTTAGTATATCCATTTTATGCTGCATAAAGTTTGAATAAGTGTGTTTTTTAATTGCCATTGTCGATATTTAGAGAGCATGGCAGTCATTGGACGATACAAAACGTCTAGATACGGTTGATTTTCTTGCATTGGATAAAATACAACACTTAATAAAAAAGAACTGCTGAATTTAAATGAACATTTGTTTCATTATGTTAATCTTGGGATTGTCTTTGTGTTCTTTAGTAGATCTGCATGCCACAAATCTACATTTATTTCAGATTGAAACATGTACCAAATAAAACAATTCACACATGCAATCTAAAAACAAACCTTATAAAAAGTCAAATCAACTTATGAATCAAAAATAGAAAGTTTAAGTTGACAACTAGCAGCGTTTAGATGCATCTCCTTGGTTCTGAGACACATTGTGTAAACTAGCATTGTTTTTTCGAAAAATCCAAAATGCTATGGTTGATTTTCTTGCATTGGATACAATTCAAGAGTTAATAAATAAGAATGGCTGAACATTTGTTTAATGTTAATCATGGGATTGTCTTTGTTGTCTTCAGTAGATCTGCACTCCACAAATCTGCACTTATTTTATATTTAAAACCAAATGTAATCCAAAAACAAACCTTGTAAAAGCAAATAATGAATCAAAAATAAAGTTAACAACTAGCAGCAGATGAATGCATCTCATTGGTTCTGAGAGACATTGTGTAAACTAACAAGTGTTTATATTGGGGGGTTGGGGCTCGACCCCCCTTAAAATACATTATTATTCCGGCCCTGAAAACCACCGTCCTGCAAAGTGAAATTCAGGGACTTCTCGGAATCCTTGAAGCGTGATTTAATCCCCTCCACACCACCAGTTAAACCTCTTTTTCTCCACTGGTCCCACTTCAAACTCCACAGAGACTTCAGTAAATGATCAATAATACAGATGCAGGTCTTTAATCAGAGTTTACTCACGGAGGATGATGTCGATGGCGAGAGGAGGCTTCTGCTGGCAACTCGGGTGGATGGTGTCGTTGTCCATGTTGGAGTTTGTTTTCCACAAATGCACCAAAGTGCTCTGTTACATCCACAGTGTTTCCTCTCCTCTCTCCTCCGGTCCTCACAAGAAACTCCTCAAAGTTTCCACGGAGGGATACCAGCCTCCCGGGCGCAGAGACACTTGCTGCCCGCCCTGGACCCGCCCACTCCGGCTGTCATAGGCCGAGGAGCCGCTCCACTGCTCCAGCCTGGGGATCAGAGGAGAGGGGGGTCATGCACAACTTTATATGGACAAGGGAGGTAATAAACAACAGGGTTAGATATGGTCTTACTCTTAACCCTTCTCTTGCGTTTCGTTCAAAAGTGACTGAATGACTTTTATTTTAATCATAAATATTGTGTTTTTCATCCAATTGCCTCAATACCTTATGTTATCCTCCACACTAGGCCTGAACATATACACTTGATGAGCACCACTTGCATTGCATTTTGAGTGATTTATTCAACAGTGAAACACCCATGATGTTTTCGGTCAGATTTGACCGCCATAGAAATGAATGAGTATGTGTATTATGTTCATCCTGCAGATGGAAAACATCTATATATATATATATACACACACACACACACGTTACAGGAACCACTCCCTTTCTCGCGCTGTATGATACAATGTATCATACCTTCTCACAGGTGCGAGCTCTGTGCCCCTCGAGAAACACAAACCTCGCGCTAAATGCGCCTCCCTTACTGGCTCTCAAGTTATATTTGTGCCTTGCTCACATTTGACTCATTGACACAATGAGCAGGCGACCGATTAGGCGATTTTCTGTATGAGAGGCTCTGGACACATTTTTTAACCAGATGAAGAGGAGATTGAACCAGACGAAGAGGAGATAGAGGAAGATGTCTCAGAAATGGAAGACAACAGCGATCCAGACTATGAGCCTACAACAGACCAGGAAGAGGCACCTGAGAGAGAGGCCCCTGAAGGAGAGGCCCCTGAGAGAGAGGCCCCTGAAGGAGAGGCACCTGAGGGAGAGGCCCTTGAGGGAGAGGCCCCTGAAGGAGAGGCACCTGAGGGAGAGGCACCTGAGAGAGAGGCACCTGAAGGAGAGGCCCCTGAGGGAGAGGCCCCTGAGGGAGAGGCCCCTGAGGGAGATGCCCTTGAGGGAGAGGCCCCTGAGGGAGAGGCCCCTGAGGGAGAGGCCCCTGAGGGAGAGGCCCCTGAGGGAGAAGCCCCTGAGGGAGAAGCCCCTGAGGGAGAGGCCCCTGAGGGAGAAGCCCCTGAGGGAGAGGAGCCTGAGGGGACATTCCACAATTTTGCATTGCCACATTGCTATGTACGTGAACACACGTGAACACACACATGTTCTGTTATGGTATATTTCTCTTTCAATAAATGTTCATTGAAGAAAACAGTATCAGTGTCTTATTTTATATTCATCACAGTGAATGCTGAACTTGATGGGCACACCAGTGGGTCCGGACCATGACATGAAACACTGGCTTGCTTGTATCAAATCAATACATCCCACACATCATTGGAACGGGAAGAATCTCAGCTACAACACTAACTAAAGCATTTCCATCTCCAGTAAACACAGCCTACATGGCAAGCATTTTTATAATATACAGTAATGTAAAATAAGCACTATCTTTGAACTTACTGCCAAATATAATATAAAGATCCACAATGTGTACTAATAACAATACTATCTATTGCCTCATTCACACCAACGCAACTCCGGTTCAAGCTCCGTGCTAGAGCTTTTCAGGTTCAGAACCAGTTCTTCGGTTTAGCTCTGGCTCTTTTCACACCGCCCAGAGTCCGACTGGTAATGCGTCGGTGCGTCATCGTTTGCGTCATGACGTGACCGTTTGCGTGCCTGCTTCATAAAGCCCAGAGCCCTATCTCTCTAGGGCTCTGGTAAAGCCAAACCGCGCGGATGAAATCAGTTGCATTCATTTCTTATGGCTCTATCTGCAGCTTTTCCGGAGTCATTTCTGTGGTTTAGTTATATTCTTATAAAAAACAGGGTTCGTACGGGTGCTTGAAATCCTTGAAAATGCTTGAAATTTGACGTGGTGTTTTCAAGGTTGGGAAAGTGCTTGAATTTTGGGAATGGTGCTTAAAATTGAGATAAAGTGCTTGAAAATGTAAATGCTTTACTTTTACAATAAATTGCTGTCTGACTGAATAGTTCGCTTTTTAGATTAAAAGAAAATAATTGCTTCGCTTCTACATAGAACAGCTCCGCTGCGTCCTTCCCGCGCTACGCGCGCAACCTGCAAGTGTTTGTGTTACGTGTGACCTGGGCATTCTGATGAGAGATAGATGACTGTGTGCCAGGAGGTTGCCGTTTCAACGAGCGTTGGCTAGCAGAAGACAAATACAAGCCATGGCTAAGACGAGGGTCAAGCCCACGAGTAGCCTCCTGCAAAGTTTGCAAAAATAACGATGCGAGAGTCTGCGCTGACGAGCCACATGAAAGGTACGCCGTAGTAAAGCATTTTAGATTAGGCTAACGTTGCATGTTACGTTTGTTTAAGCTAACGTTAGCTAGCTGAATAGCGAACTCGATTGAGGGATAATAATAATTGCAGGGGACAATCATTTCAGAGGAGCGTATCTATGTTATGTGCGTTACAGTCGCCATCGTGTGGTGTTCAGAGGATGAAGCACTCACGGCATTTCGTGTTATAGTCACGAAATATAATCTATTGATTCGACACAGAGCGATTTTGAAAGCAATGTATTTCTACTGGTAGTATGTTTCGTGCCTAAACCAAATGTGACTTGCTCTCTCGAAATCAGTCACATTGACCCGAAGACACATCTTCGTTTGTATTACTGGTCTGGGGGAAGCTCGCGAGTGTGTTTGTGTATTTGTGCGTTTGTTTCCCGGGGAAAACACTCACAAGAAACACCAGCTGTTGTTATGCCTGCTGTGACGTTAAGTTACTCAGTTCTCCGCTTGTAATTATGCCGAAGCTTCAAAGTTGTATTTATCATCTGAATTTGCCGAAACAAGTTTAATATTCTGAAAGCCAAGACTTTGTTTATTTGAAAACGGATGAAAACAAACTGTCTTTATATAAAATTGAAGTATTATACAAGTAAAACTACATGTTGCTTTAATCCCATGTAATTGTAGAATGAACACAGTCTTCCTTTGAAGAAGGAAAGACTGTAAGTCAGAGATAAGTCAGGTGTCTTGAGTAGTCAGCATTACCTACAAATCATTGTACACATTTGTACATATTATTTCCCACTTGTTACCATTGTGAGTCTATTTCTATGCAGCTCTGCGTGATTTTGTGGCTACAATTCAGACTAATACGCTACTAGAGGTGGAATAAGTACTCAGATCTTGTACTTGAGTAAAAGTAGAAGTACTCAGATCTTGTAGTGAAATTATTATAAGTACTCAGATCTTGTACTTAGCAAAAGTAGAAGTACCAGAGTGTAGGAATACTCTGTCACAGTAAAAGTCCTGCATTCAAAATATTCCTCAAGTGAAAGTAGAAAAGTATTCGTAATAATATATATGATATGTTTTATAATGATTGATCATGAAAGTGTTCTCAAAGCTGGTGAAGGTGCAGCTAGTTTGAATGACTTTGTATTCTGCAGGGTAGCTGGTGGATTTACTCCAGGTGGAACTAAAGTCTGATTTAACACTTCATTATATTTCACATCTTTCATCCACATCTGTGAAGTAACTAAAGGTATTAAATACATGTAGTGGAGTAGAAGTACAACATGTACCTCTGAACTGTAGTGGAGTAGAAGTACACCATGTACCTCTGAACTGTAGTGGAGTAGAAGTACACCATGTACCTCTGAACTGTAGTGGAGTAGAAGTACACCATGTACCTCTGAACTGTAGTGGAGTAGAAGTACACCATGTACCTCTGAACTGTAGTGGAGTAGAAGTACACCATGTACCTCTGAACTGTAGTGGAGTAGAAGTACACCATGTACCTCTGAACTGTAGTGGAGTAGAAGTACACCATGTACCTCTGAACTGTAGTGGAGTAGAAGTACAACATGTACCTCTGAACTGTAGTGGAGTAGAAGTACACCATGTACCTCTGAACTGTAGTGGAGTAGAAGTACACCATGTACCTCTGAACTGTAGTGGAGTAGAAGTACACCATGTACCTCTGAACTGTAGTGGAGTAGAAGTACACCATGTACCTCTGAACTGTAGTGGAGTAGAAGTACACCATGTACCTCTGAACTGTAGTGGAGTAGAAGTACACCATGTACCTCTGAACTGTAGTGGAGTAGAAGTACACCATGTACCTCTGAACTGTAGTGGAGTAGAAGTACACCATGTACCTCTGAACTGTAGTGGAGTAGAAGTACAACATGTACCTCTGAACTGTAGTGGAGTAGAAGTACACCATGTACCTCTGAACTGTAGTGGAGTAGAAGTACACCATGTACCTCTGAACTGTAGTGGAGTAGAAGTACACCATGTACCTCTGAACTGTAGTGGAGTAGAAGTACACCATGTACCTCTGAACTGTAGAGGAGTAGAAGTACACCATGTACCTCTGAACTGTAGTGGAGTAGAAGTACACCATGTACCTCTGAACTGTAGTGGAGTAGAAGTACACCATGTACCTCTGAACTGTAGTGGAGTAGAAGTATACCATGTACCTCTGAACTGTAGTGGAGTAGAAGTACACCATGTACCTCTGAACTGTAGTGGAGTAAAAGTACACCATGTACCTCTGAACTGTAGTGGAGTAGAAGTACACCATGTACCTCTGAACTGTAGTGGAGTAGAAGTACACCATGTACCTCTGAACTGTAGTGGAGTAGAAGTATACCATGTACCTCTGAACTGTAGTGGAGTAGAAGTATACCATGTACCTCTGAACTGTAGTGGAGTAAAAGTACACCATGTACCTCTGAACTGTAGTGGAGTAGAAGTACATCATGTACCTCTGACTTGTGTTTACTGCCAACCTAAAAGTACCTCAAAAATAGTAATAATGTATTGAAAAGTTATTTGGCTGATAGTTTTATATCGGCTCAGACAGGTTATATGGGACATACAGATGGGTCACTCATTTTGAAATATTAAACTTAGTTTTCTTTTCTTTAATTTTTCATCTTCGTGTAGAAGGCTATCACGAAACACACATTTGGTTGTTTATAGCATAAAGAACATCTGATTTAATGTGAGGTAGGG